TCGACACAAACTTGTGTAAGCGAAGGTTTGACTCAGCGAGTGAGGCCTGTGTGCGTTGGAGCAGGTCGATTGCCTCAGCTTGAGATGGTACGGATATCAACCCATCGTCAACGTAGAAATGCCTTTCCACATAGTTGACTGTATCTGCACCATGCTCCTGTGCACCTTCTCTGATGGCTCTTCGCAGTCCGTAGGTGGCAACGGCGGGTGATGGTCTGTTGCCGAAGACATGGACCTTCATCCGGTACTCTATAACTTCCTTGCTGACGTCGTTGTCTTTGTGCCATAAAAAACGGAGGAAGTTGCGGTGGTCTTCACGCACCAAAAAACAGTGGAACATCTGCTGGATGTCTGCCATGATAGCGATCTTCTCTTTTCGGAAGCGTAGCAGGACGCCTAGGAGGGAGTTATTTAGGTCGGGGCCTGTTAGGAGTACGTCGTTAAGGGAGATACCGTAGTACTGGGCGCTGGAATCAAAGACTACCCTGATCTGACTGGGTTTTTGTGGATGGTAAACCCCAAATGTTGGGAGATACCAGCATTCTTCAGCTTCTTTCAGAGGGGGCGCTACTTCGGCATGTCCGTTAGCGAAGATCTTCTCCATGAATGCCACATATTGTTCCTGCATCTCAGGTTTCTTTTTCAGGGTTTGTTGCAGAGAGGCGAACCGCTTGACCACCTGTTCTCTGTTGTTTGGCAGAGGCTGGCGTGGTTCTCTGAACGGTAGTGGGGCGACCCAACTGTTAGCATCATCTCTGTAGACGTTTGTGTCCATTATTTTTAGGAAGATTGTGTCTTCCACTGATTGAGCAGGTTTGTTATCGTTCTCGCTTTGGTTGAACACTGTCTTACCCAGCATCCTCTCAGGCCTGTTAGAGCTTTGCTGCGTCTCTTTTACATGCATGAAGCTTGTGCAGGGTTGAAAAATGGAATGGCGACCACTGTCCAGCACGTTGGTCTTAAACGTGTTGACTGTCGGCTTATGCACATTACCCAGACACACCTCTCCTATTACTACCCATCCCAGGTCCAAACGCTGGGCGAAGGGGGCATTGTGTGGTCCGTTGACCTGCTGCCTGACCTTGTGTGCTCTAAGGACATCTCTTCCAAGTAGCAGGAGTATTTCTGCATCCGGGTCCAGTTCCGGGATGTACTTGGCGATGTGTTGAAGATGGGGATGGTGTAAGACTGCGCTCGGTGTTGGAATCTCAGACCGATTGTTCAAGATCTCGTGGCACTCAATGAGTGGTGGGAGAGGGATGAGAACCTTGCCATCCAATGACTCGATCTGGAATCCTTCTGCTTTTTTGCCGGATGTTTCTACGATTCCAGAGCAGGTTCTGAGGTGATACGAGAATGGTTTGCTCTCCACATTGAACAGCTCGAAGAACTCTGGTCTAGCTAATGAGCGATTGCTCTGGTCATCCAGAATTACATAGGCTTTGATGGCCCTCTCCTTGGCATCCTTCGGATATATCTTTGAGAGGCAGATCTTTGAGCATGAGCGACTCCATTGGTTTGGGCCGCAAACTTCTGTGCAACTGGTTCTAACAACGGCTGTGTTAGGGTGATTTTGTCCCTCCCCGCCGTTCTCCTGTGGTGGTGAAGGAGTTGATGGGCCGGGATGCATAGCAGCATCATGGTAGGCGCTATCACATTCAGAGCACTTGACGGAGGACTTGCAATCTTTGGCAAGGTGGGTGACTGAAGAACAGCATTTGAAACATATTCCTTTCTCCTTGAGGAAGGCCTTTCTCTCCTCGAGGAGTTTGTTTCTGAATGTCCTGCATTTTTTGAGAGGATGTGGTTTGTTGTGTAATGGGCAGTTCTTGTTAAGGTCGTCATTGGTAGTAGAAACATCAGTTTTATGCACTGAAATGGGTCTGTTGGTGTTCTTCACACTAGATTTGTCTGGTCTTGTGGGTGTGGTTACACTGCTTTGATACATGAAGCTAGGATCGTTTCGCTTCTTCGCTTCATAGCACACGAAGTTACTGAAATACTCAAAGGGAGGGAAGCGACCTTGGTTCTGTTCTTTGTACCAGGATCCAGAAGACACCCACTTTTCTTGAAGTCCATATGGAAGCTTGTCCACGATTGGCCCAATTCCACGTGAAGTATCCAGATATGATAGGCCAGTGAGATAGCCGTCTTCTTTAGCGCCTTGGATCTCCATAAGCAAATCTCCTAGTTCACGTAATTTGGTGTGGTCCCTAGCTGAAATCTTGGGAAAACTGTCCAACCGATGAAACAGTGACTTTTCAATGATTTCAGGTGCAGCATAGCACTCACGTAGTCTCTCCCATGCCTTGTGTAAAGCAAGTTTGGGGTTACCGACATGCACTGAGCGTATGCGTTTAACCTGTTCGCTAGATTCTTTTCCCAGCCATTTAGTCATAAGATCCAGTTCTTGGGTGGCTGTGAGGTGAACTTCATCAGCTGCATTGGTAAATGAGGAGTACCATGCACGGTAATTTCCTGGCTTATCGTCAAATTGGTACAGTCCTGAATTGACAAGGTCTCGTCGTGCCAAATACTGTGCCAAGGGCTCCACCAAAGGTGGTGTGCTAGGTGGAGGAATCGGTTGCGGAGCATATATCTGGGCATGAAAATCCATGGTAGGGTCTGTTCTTCTGACTTCAGGCTTCGTCTCCAATCTAGCCGAATCAGGTAAGTTTGGTGCAGGTAAGTGTGTACTGGTCACTTTTTCAGACTGTGGCTCATTGATAGGTTCTAATTGTGAAGCGTCTTTCACTTGTGGGCCCCATGTAACGAAGCTGTCGTGTGATTCTGCATGGGGTGGGGAAGCCACAGGTAAGCCTGCCAAGAGTGGGGAGGAAGAACGATTCTGAAGGTTGATTTGAGATTGGATATAATCCTTGGTGCGTTCAATTTTAACCTCTTCTGCTTCGTATTTTCCCACTTCGTCTAAAGGATGCATTGCTTCAGCGTTTTCCAGCACCTCTGCTTCCACCAAGGCTGCAGCAGCTTCTCTGTGTAGCATTAACACTTCCAACTCTGTGTCTATCCTTACCGTTTCCAACTGATTTTGAGCATCTCTTGTTGTCTTTTCTGCTTCTCTGGCAGCCTTTTCCATTTTCAATTTAGCCTCTTGGTTAGCATAAGATGCTCTTACCTTGGCAGCTTCTGCTTTAGCTCGGGCCCGGGCAACACTTGCCGATGATGCTGATGTCATGATGCTCCCAGATCTGGATGACTTGCTGCTTGTTGCCATTTTGACCAGTTCGAAACTTCACAAGTTGCCTTTTCACTGTAATGTTCTTGTGCAGTGTGTGTAAAACACCGACTAAACACTCAGTTAAACCGTAGCCAATGAAGAGAGAGTTGTAGTAAGATTGATCCTTTACTGAGACACTTCTTCATACATGCTGTCTGTGTGGTGAAAACTGTAAATAAAGGCAGTACAAACATATTCAATGTTCTTAACTAAACTAAACACCATTGTACATAGTTGTAAATATGAACATACATCATGCATATAGCATGGCTGTTAGCTTGCACATTAGGGTAAAAACAAAAACTTTTTTTTTTTAAATTAACTTATCAAACATAATTTTTTAGCAAATCCCTGCTAATATATGAACTTTAACATGTCTATTGTCAAATGAATTAACTTACGGCATTGCCTCTATGATGTTCCAGAGTGGATGCAAGCAGATTAGTCTCAGAGCATACATGTCTGCTTTCTTTTCCGCATGTGGAGATAAACAGGAAGTCACTAAACAGGAAATGACGAAACCGGAAGTAGCTAAACAGGAAGTGACGTCATGGTGTGAACGAAAATAATACTAATTTACAGATTATTTATTTTGAACTGAGAAGTAGTTATGTACCTTATTTCCAACTAAAAATAAAAACCAACGAAATAATTCATAAAAAAAATTAAGAAAGCCCTAAAGGCACCACAATCACACTTCTATGACAAGAGACATCGCAAGAGATAGATAAAAAAAAGTCAAAATTGAAGCAACAGAGGCCAGAAGATATACTGACTTTTAGTCCATAGTATGATCTAGACAGATCTACCTATTTCCTACATTCCCCATTTTGCAACCAATAGCATCATTTTGTTAATCCCTCTGCCGGTTTAATGTCCATATCTTTCAAGCTTTATGCCCCCAGTTTTTAACGCAGGCTTTATGTTATACTGTTGCAAATTTCAGGCCATCATCGCAACATCATCAGGGTTATTTAAAGCTCCCTTTAGAGCTACAGAATACATCATACAGTTGTTTTCACAGGTTGCATAATGGTCTCAATGACAAGTAAACAAATCCTTATAAAAACCTGTGGAGTTCCCTTTTAAGTGACATACGTTAAACTTCAAATGTAGTATTTTTGTTGTTTAACATGTATTGTTTGTCCTGAAGGCCCAATATATCATGGAAAACCCCATTTATCTGGCAAACTATTAAAGATTTTCTCTACACCGCATGATGTAGTGCACCACTACTGGCCTGATACACACCAACATCTGAAGCAATATTCTACTTTGATGTAGCATATAGACATGTTTTGTAAGTTTTGAGCAGTAGTCCAGCCTATCTAAAAAATAGAAAAATACTTTCCTTTGAATTTTGTGAGTGCTTTATGAGATTTGAAGAGTGCCCAAGTCCAGTTATCTGCTCCACCAATGTGGTATTCTGGTGAAATAAAAAGGACATCTTAATGGAGACACAAGAGCTTGAGATATTCTGCTGCTGATGGAACAGACAGACACACACATTCCTTAAATCCATTATGGCTTTAGACTTCAAAGATGATTTTGTTTTTTTCAGCATTCCCTGAAAAGGGAGAGGGTTGCTCTGTGTTTGCTGAGCAAATGTAATACCTTGTGTAATGTACACTGCTCTCCTCACTGCTCAATATTCTTTCTCCATTTAGCCCTGCCTGGAATACCTATCTTTCTCCTTTTGCTTGTGATAATGTTTGAGACCAACTGCCATGGGCCTTACGTCTCTTTCTCTTTTGTTTTTCAGGTGGGATTTTCGAACAAACAGATGGACCTGTTTCACTTGTTAGCGCAGAGGAGCTTGCCTTTAAATTTGCTGTCAATAACATTAACAGAAACAGGACTTTGTTGCCAAACACAACATTAACATATGACATACAGAGGATTAATATCTACGACAGTTTTGAGGCATCAAGAAAAGGTGAGTGACTTGTTCTGTGTTTAGAGAAGGATTGTGATTACAGTGAAGACAAGAATCTGGTCAGTCAACAAACAGCATCTATTAGTTTGACAATAATAATGTTACAGTGGGTATTTGGGAATCCCTACTAAATGGACTGTGACTAAAGAGGCTACACAGTTTCTATTCTTAAGATTTCTTTTCTTGCTCTTCTCTAGCTTGTGACCAGCTGTCTTTAGGTGTGGTTGCAATATTTGGGCCCTCGCATAGTTCATCGTCAAATGCTGTGCAGTCCATCTGCAATGCACTGGAAGTGCCACACATCCAGGTTCGGTGGAAACATCACCCCATGGACAACAGGGACAGCTTTTATGCCAATCTATACCCTGATTATTCTTCACTAAGCTACGCTATCCTGGACCTGGTGCAGTTTCTCAAATGGAAAACAGCCACTGTCGTTTATGATGACAGCACAGGTGAACAGAATTTTATACTACTATATAATGTTATTATATTCTCACAAACGCAGTGCACATGCCAAGTACATTGTTCCCCTAAAAGCAATTAATATATAATAACTATCTTCCTCATTGTGACTGCATTATCTGTGTGATTCTGTTGGACTTCATCTGGGTTGTTTCTTTTCTTAAGGTCTTATAAGACTACAGGAGCTTATAATGGCCCCGTCTCGGTACAACATCAGGCTAAAGATCCGGCAACTTCCTCTTGACACGCAGGACACGAGACCCCTTCTCAAAGAAATGAAGAGAAGCCGGGAGTTCCGCATCATATTTGACTGCAGTCACCAAATGGCTGCACAGATTCTCAAACAGGTTTGTGAGAGTTCTTCAGAGTGTGGCATAGACTCTCCTAATGTCAGATGTTAGCATGGCCGGACAAATGTAAGCATGTGGCCATCTTCCACACAGCTGTCACTGGCAACAGCGCTGGGTGATATCGCCAAAAATGTTATCACGATAAAAACATTTAATTCATTTTGATATATATATATATCTATAATTATCATGATAAATGTCAAATCATTATTTCTTTTAAGTTTAAAGGCTGATTTTTGCTTCTAGGTGAAAAGTTGAAGGAATCAGATGGTTAATTGTGTGGTTAAACTTGTCTTTATGGTCAAGACGTGACAACACTTGTTGCCAAACAGAGGATCACTTCTCAAATCTCAGGTGGAACATTCAAAATGATTCTGATAAACTTTATTTTTAACAAATATGATTAGTAAATCTTTTTTCAGTTCCATTTCCTCAACCAAAATAAATATTTAAGTAGAAAAATTAAGTGCAACTCTGTTAGTGATTCAAATGAATTAAATCAAACATTTGTTGACTATATATTGATCATTTGTTATCTTGTTATTGAAGAAAATTATATTGCGATAATTATCATTATTGTTTTATTGCCCAGCCTTAACTGGCAAAAGCTGATTTCTCTATGGGATTTCCATTTGTGCCACCTGTCCACTCAAAACACCTTAAGACAGTGAGACAACTAGTGTCCAACAGTAGATATGAAAATTTAAATTGACCAATAGATATTTGTGAACTTGTGGAGAACTTCTTCTCCACTTTACTTCTTCTTATGATCTCAAGCAAAGAAACGTGCCATAGTTGGATGTCGAGCTGTGATTCACAGTTTTTCATTTTTGCACCTGTTGCGACTAGCTTTGTATTGTAGACTGTGATTCTGTTGTATCTGGGGTCTGTCTGTTAAGTACTTGCTCAAAAGATTTAGAACATTTTTCAAAGATGAAATGTTGGCTAGTTTGACATTAAGATACATCTCACAAACAGTACGGTCCAAAATGTCTCATTAGTAAAACTGTACATGCATGTGTTTTATAATATATAAGTGAATGTCAGTCAACAAAGAACAGTATGATGCACAGAGTAGAGATTGTGTAGGTGGTCTAATGCTCTGTACATGTCAAGAACAGGCTGGTGGATCCCCCCCCTCCATTCAGCTTGCTGTCAGCTTCTGTTAACGTGTTTACCAAATGCATCACCTCCTCCTAAGTCATTTAAATAACTCAGACCTCCCAAGTTATCTAGTCATCTAAAGTGACATATATCCGCTCGTGGCCAGTCTGCAATTCTCGCACCAAGGAATCACTGTTCTCTTTAGAGAATACATGAAAGAAGATTTTGAGGCAAAAATGCTCAGACCCATCAGTTCCCTTAACATGACCAAACACCACAGCTTTTGAAGTAAGGGAAAGCAGGAGATTGGCTATGAGTGATGCCAAGAATACCACACCCACTGTATGTGGTTACAAAATTACCAACAATCGTGCACCAGCATCGTGCTAGTTTGACTGCCTTTTGTGCATCATTGATTAGTTACAATAGAGCCCAAATGTACATCTATGAAAGCTGATGTTGCTCAGTACTGTATAATAAGCTTTTTATTGATTATTGGTTATTTTTTGGGACACACATTGTGCTTTGCTGTCTTCCAGAAAAGCTTTGTGCTGAGTTAATTTGTAAAAATGTCTATCAGTGTCATTCAATATACTGCAACTAAGTTATATTTTCATTACTGGTAAATCTGATAATTATTGTCTCAATAAATCCATTAATAGTTTGTTCTTTAAAATGTCCGAAAATAGTGAAAAACGCCCATCGCAAGTTCCAAATGTCACAGTTGACATATTCAAATTGCTTGTCTTCTAAAACCTCAAAATATTTAGTTTACATGACATAAAACACAGCAAATATTGATATTTGAGAGGCTGGAAACAGAACTATAGGTGTTTTTGCTTAAATAATAAAATATAATATAGATAAAAAATAAAATGGTTGTGTGCAGCACACAAAGTATGATCTTTCAATAAAATTATGTGTGATTTTAATCTAAATTGACTAATGTCTTACTAAAGGCAAAACTGTAATGAATGTCAGCTATGTTTTGATTTGCAGGCAGCAGTGACAAAATGTCCTATTCAAGACATTAAGTAGAAATCAGAAGCAGGGAATTGCGGGTGCATGTGTATAAAGGAGTATCTGAGGTGGCTATTTTCAACAGGGTTTAAATATTATGTCTGAAGTACTGCATTATGCCCTTGGAATGTTTAATTTATCATGCCATGATTGTCAACAATACATTCACCTGCATTTAACATGCCTCTGTCAGGTTATATTCCCTCACAGACTGGACAGGAGAAAATGGGAAGCATGTCCCTGGTGTCTTTTAAAATAACTCTGTGCTTTCTGTTGTCCTTTTTATTTTTTATTTTGTGCTGTGATTGTGCTACTGGATTGATGGGGACAGGGGGCACGTGGAGGTGTACTAAAATAAGAGGTTGATGAGGAATAAAAATGCAGAAAAGATTATGTTGTCATATCATACTGACAATTCATCCTGCAGCAGTGGAAACATTACTTTAATTAATGACAACTCATGCTCACAATACAAAACATGACAAAAACTTTCAATGTCATGTATTTGGCTTATTGTCTGTAAATGGAGAAGTGAATTTGCCTCCACATAAGCACAGCATCTTATTTACATAACCTTGGCTTTTTTTCACAACAGATGGTACAATTAAATGGGAAGCACAGTCGCCATGGGAATATGGTGCCTTTCATTGTAGATTGAGTGAAACAAGGGGTGGTGATGGAGTGTTCGGATATGAGGCAAAGATTACCGAGCTCTTTTGATTGAAGGATCTTTTCCCAGCGATACGATACCAGAAAACTTGCCCACAAAATGAACAATGTGTTAGTCAATATGCTCATGAAAACCTGGCTATTTTTTCCCTTTATTGATTAAAGTATTTTTGTGCATCTCTTTAGCATTAGTTGTTCTGACTGTGCTGTTGATTCTACAATGCTCTGACATGACTAAGTGACCAATTTCTCTATGCTGTCTCTATTCATCCACACCTTGCTTTCCCATCCTCCGTCTCGGTATCCTTCCAGGCCCAGACCATGGGGATGATGACTGAGTATTACCACTATATCTTCACCACTCTGGTAATGTACCACGCTTGTTAATGCAAATAGAGTCTCGTTTGTTCTCATCTCCCCACTGCTTGAGCTTTTGATGAATAGTGGCTAATTGCCAATGGGGCTTGGATCCAGTCCATAATATCAATTTTGTTTGACAAGCTGGAGGCATAATGGAGTCTTCAGTGTGCCGTAGTAAACACTCTACTTTATAGTAAAGTCAACACAAGTCTTTGAGTTGGCAGCTTAAAAAACAACAGCTTGAGATTCAAAACTGAATGACTTGCCTTTTTAAAAATGAAATGTGACTTTGAGTTTGAAAATTACTAAAATGTTTTTTGAGCTCTTCCATTATATATAATTCAATTTAATGCCATACATTTTTAAAATGAAAATTATCAAAATGTAAAAAAACTCCACCAGCAAACTAAATTAAAACACATTCATTGCACCCAATATAACTCCTAAATTCATTTACAAGGCTTTTAATAAAAAGACTAGATCAACAGATAAATCTAAGTTATTGATTTCCGACTCTACTAAAGGTTTGATTACGTCAATAAAAACATGAGTGATATAGGCGTGTATTTTCAATAATGATTTCAATAATGAAGTGTAAAAACAAACAAAAAAAAGACTAATCATCTCTGAAGTCAATATCATGTGACTATGTATATAATGTATGCCTGTAATTTATGTGGTTGTAGATCATTATTGGGACCATTTTCACCATTTCAAGTGCGTTGATATTCAATATTGTTCTCTAGTCAGCAAATCCAATGAAAAGCAATGAATTGATCCCAGTAACAAGTATTTTCTGTGTAGCCAATAGCCTTCCATTGTCCAAAAACAAGTGAAAACTATTCACTGGGTGACATGTCCTTTCATTACGATGAACACAGGCGCTGTATTATTTATCTTGAGTTGATTGCAGATACACTGTCCTGATGCTGTACTCGCCCGTGCACCAAATCAGCAGCTGAAAATAGTCCCCAACAAATCCTGTTTAACATTATGAGCTACAGTGCCCAGCTTTTTTAAGGAAATGACTTGCATTTTTTGGAGGCTGCAGTTTGTGGTCCTGTTGCACTGTATTGTGTTATACTGACAGGTCTTTCTATTATGTTGTCCAACCAATTTATGTCAATGAGAGCAGGCTAAATAACAGAAACACCTCTCCGTATAATGCAATGCAATTCAACAGCACCACAATCTGGAAGCATTAGAGTCTAACATGTTGTTGGTTTAGCTCTTTTCATGAGATTTGTTGATCATAACAAAAAATCTTTTAAAATTAAAAATGACTTAGGATTTTGTCCAGTATTACATAGGTTTAATGTAACCGGGGTGTGCTACTGTTTCATTCTCATCTTGAGCATTTTAAGTTCCCACTCTGATGAAATGATCCTGTCTGACTAATAGAAGCAGACACAGCAGGGAGCCGTTGCTGCTCTTCACTGAGACGCTGGCTACAAACACATTGAATGGGAATGAATACCAGCATGATCTGGGCTTTTCCTTTCACTCTCTGTTATTGTCTCTGTTTTTGCCTCTCTCTCTCGAGCACACACACACTCCCCGTCTCCGCGGCCTCGGCCAGTCTGTTGTGATAATATATGACACAGAGGTCCAGGCATGATGTGTGTCATCTTTCACACTCGACAGCGTGGCAATGACATTGTTCTGCCAGGCGTCATGTTTGTGTAGCATGTCTATTGGTTTAATAACGAAATCAAAACTCTTTTTTTCTCCAGTCTCCTTTTCATTGCCAGTGTACTAGTGTGTTTACGTTTAGCAGATGGAAAAAATATTCACTAGGAAATTAATTTAAATACTTTTATTTGACTTGATTTTCTGCAACAACAATATTTTTCACATGACGGCTAGCTATCTTTATAGAATCAGAGTGTGGTATCTATCCAAAGCTGCAATGTGCTGTCATATTGATAGACACACCATTAAGAAGATTATACCTAGCGGCTTGATTTGATCAGTAATGATGAATACTTGCATGGTATACATAGCAATACAATTTCCTCTCGATGGAATCCACTGATATCTGTGTTTTATCTTCTGAGGTGAGGGAAATGCCGACTTATTAGAGCGTGAAACGGCAACAGCAGAGTGGTATGGAGTAATAACTTCCTTGTCCTTTGAAATGAGTCTGTCATAGCTCCCGCCTTGCCATAGCTATCTCTAAGAACCTAAAGCTGAGAACTTTATTATGTTTGCCACGTCCACAACACTTGTGTATGCACTCAGACACATGCAGCGTGTTCTCCGGGTAACGATTTGAGTGCTGTTGTAGGATTATGTTGATTTTGTGTTACAAAATCAAGGCAGCACTGCAAAAAGTGAACTTATGATTGGAACAAGTTGCCGACATCCCAAAATGTCCCCAATAGAAATGAGAATGTCACAAAAGATGAATTATATTTTTACAAACAATTCTGTCCCAGTTAGTTTGTATTCTTAGCTTCAAAGCTAATAAACTTGTAACCTGATCTACTTTTCTCTGCAATTTTGAATGTCATATAGAACAACAGTGATTTACTTTGATCTCTGTTCATAAAAGAGAGTACTGTACTGCATTCTAGTGAGAGAGAAAAAAAAAGAGGAGAAATATTTCCGTGACTGGCAGGGACTGTTCTTCAGTAAGTGTCTTACACGCTCTCGTTCATCCAGTACTAACCCCACAGGGTGCTAATGAAATATCTATGTTCATCCAAATGTCTTTTCCAAGCCCGCTGGCCAATTCCGACACGACATGCGTCAACATGTGACTTCACACTTCAGCTACAATGGATGCCCCAGAAATTACAGCGGCTCAAATTGAATTGCTTTTTGCTTAGAAGTTGCCAAGGGAATGCAAGTGTTGAATTATTAATATGAACCAACAGAATTGGTGTTTGTTTTTTTCTTGTTCTTTAATTTTTCTGAGCCACAAACAATAATTACAATGCTCTCAAATAAAAAGCATGCACCCATAAAGATTATTTCACATGAGCATGATTAAGAAAGGCAAAATATATCACTAGCTTGTAGTTTGTGCAGTATAATCAATCATTAAATAGGTGCAAAAGCAATTTGTCAATTCTAAAAGGATTTTCAGCAGAAATGTGACTCTACCACCACAGACTTTTTAGATTTCATTTACTACACAGACACTGAATCACATTATGCTAAAATCTCCTGATTTGACATTGAAAATGTTTGTATTTCACCATCCTTTCACTCTATTTCATCTTAATATAGTATCTCCTTAATCAGCTGGTGCACCATTCTCTTTTCATGTGAGGAGAAAGCATCCTGGGTAAATACTTAAAACAAAGATGTCCAATGCCGGCAGACTAAATGAGAATCCATCCTTCATTACCGTTGTCTCTCAAAAGGACCTGATGGCCATTGACCTGGAGCCCTATCGCTTCTGTGGTGTCAACATGACTGGCTTCCGCATCCTCAACGTAGATAATCCCCTGGTTGCATCCATTGTGGAGAAATGGTCAATGGAAAGGCAGATACCACCTAAACCTGATTCAGGCCTGCTGGAGGGCATCATGACGGTATGTTTTATTACTTCTGTGTTGTTCCATTTAAATGGTTTTAACCCAAACAGTAACCCATAACAAACTCTTTTACCTCAGCAATTATCACTATATACAGTAACCACTTTAATAGGTACAGGTGACTCTTTCAGGCTGTGGCTCATGTATGAATACAACAGAAATACTGTATGAAGTATGTCAACAGATTTGAGTGTTCTGCTACAGCTCGACTAAATGTTGAATGGGAAAGATGCATATTTTAAGTCGTTTTAAAAGTGGTATGATCATGGGTGCCATACTGAGTAGTTCCAGCTACTTCTAAAAAACTTTTGTCCTGTGATTGTGTTCATCTTAGTTTCTCCTATTTACTCATGGTTCTTGTGGGCAAAAATGTCCCTTTGATTAGAGAGGTCAGAAGACCAAATCAGACAAAAATGAGTCAATTAGTTACACATAGGTATGGAAAGCATGCAAATAAAACCCATTTAGATATAGTAGGCTTCTCAGAAAGAACAACCTGGCTAGTATTGAAAGCATATAGATTTCAGTACCATTAACCAAGCAAAAAGCAGAAAGATTCCTGGTTTTGTTCTTGCATGTTGATGGCAGGGTCAGATATTAGCAAGAATAATATAAATCCACAAGGTTTGTGTCTTAAACAGTACAGATGGAGGTAATAAAAAGGCTTGAGAGAAAATTCATTAGGGCATTTCACACCAATTAACCTATGAACGTGCCAGTCTCCCTAAACATTGTTTCTGACCAGGTGCATCCCTTTACAGCCATTCTTTTTCAAATGGATAGTTTCTAATGGATAATGCACCACTGACTCACTATGTTTCTAGGAAAATGATAGGGACTTTGGCTGACTCCAATGACCCAATGCATAAAATAGAGCAAAATTCCGGTCCTTGTTGAATCTACACCTTCAGGCTGTTCAGGCTGTTCTGCAGGATAATTCAGAAAGTTACAGATTTTGAAAGTATAGTAATGTTGTCAGTAAATAGTATAAATGCTGATTATAGTTCAGGTGTTAATGCCTGTGCCAAAAATGGGACCCATTTGTGACATACTGCCAGAAATTAATAGCTAATTGTTGACTAATGTATTGACATTATTTACCTAGCAAATTAAAGGGAGCTCATTTACTTGAATCTTTTCCTTTGGTCATATGTTTACTAATGTGCAAATCCCAATAATAGAATAGAATAGAATATACTTTATTGTCCCCTAGGGGAAATTTGTCATGGACTCAAGAGTGCATAATGCATAGTAGTACCTGCCCTTACAGACAATAAATACATGTAAAATACAAATAATAGCTGAAGACGTACACGTAGGCTACATACACACTCATGACACATCCAATAAAAGATTAAAACAAAAAATAAAATAAAATAAAATACAAAAACAACAAGCCAAACACTAAGTTATTACACACTTCCCAGGCCTCAGCGTACAGATCTAATTAAAATTTTGATTTAAAATTTTGATGGAGGTGGGTATGAAAGAGTATTTAAAATGGTTCAATTTGGTTTTTGGGATTCTCTAAATTCTGCTACAGGCAAGAGCTCGTATTCTGTTTGAAGGATTTGGGACGGATCCAACAGAACTCTCCGCGCCTGCCTGAGTACAGACTGCTCATAGATGGACTGAAGGGAGAGCTTTCCAGTCCTCCCCATCACCTTCATAGCAGTCTGTACGAAGGATAGTAATGTGGAATAATCATTGTTTTGATTTTAGAAATTGAATATTAAATCAATCTAATGTGAACAAATAATGTAGCAAATGTGCTTTAATATTTTGTTTCATTATTAGTTTTCATTATTTTACAATAAACTTTTTAATGGGCTGTTATCTAAATACAAAAGTATAGGTTGACCACAAGGTTCAAACACAGAGGATTGTAACCTACACTGTCTACAGTATACAGCAACTAAATCCAGATTACTGATGTCTATAGCTGCTGAAGGTATATGTCAGCAAAGGTTATATCATACATCATTTAAAATCCTCAATTATGTATGTGATTTTATCTAAAATGGGAGCTCATAGTAAGGTTACATAGTATATAATTGATTAGAAGTACCTCAAAGGTTAAAAATGTGAGGAAATCACATTAAATACTAAAGTTATGAGTGTCAAAGGGATAATATGAGAAGAAAAGCCTTTTTCAGAATTCCTTTAGATCATTCCATATCAGTTTTGAGATTAGATAAGTGGTGACTAAACTATTTATGTCTTTGCACAGGCATCAGCTGAAATAATGTTCACCCCTTATTCCAGACAGATGCAGCTCTGACCTATGATGCAGTCCACATTGTGTCCGTCTCATACCAGCACGCTCCACAGATGACGGTAAACTCGCTGCAGTGCCACCGCCACAAACCGTGGAGATTTGGAGGACGCTTCATGAGTTTCATCAAAGAGGTGACGGGACACCTTTTGCATGTTGCTATTTGATTTAAGTGTTATTGATATAAGAGCATACTGATTGAGCAGCGAACATGACAATGGGAGTGGAGTGAAGACCGTGTAGTCATTTAGGAGATATTTACCCAGCAAATCAATCATATCCACATACAAAGCAAACCAAGTCATGATAGACACATCAAAGCAGTGTTGTTGTCAGCTTTATAAATTCCCAGTATTCATAACCTATTTTCCAGAAAGCACGTACTGTAACCTTTTGAAAGCACAACTAGTGTAATCGGCTCTTGTTTAATCTAACATGAGAGTCTGACAGTGGCTCAGTATACACAAACAAGCCTGTGGAAAATGGCAGCTTAAGGGTGTGCAGAGATGCTACAATTTATTCAAACAACAAAAGCATCTGTATTTATATTTGTCCTGGGTGTAGTTTAAAAATGTGAAATATTCCATTTGTTTTTTCCTCTTATGATAACCCCAATTATTGCAAAAATGAAAGCATTAACCTCCTGGATCCACTGTATTTAACACAGGCTTTGCCCTCTAACTAGGATCCATCATCTTTGGTAACTGCCCAGTATATTTGCATATACCCACAGAGCAATCAGAATGATGGCTATGGGGCGCTATTCATATAAAAGGGCAGAGCTAAACCTCTTTCCTCATCCACTTTTCATTAGCAAAATGGATGACAACTTCTGTTCAGTGCCCATGTCGTCCACAGATTTTCACTTTCACAGGCTAGGTCTCCATTGCTTTACGCTCCTCAGTGCTAAGCGTCCTGACAGCATTTGAAAATAGTTTCAAGCATAACTTCTGACAGGTGTGGTCCTACTTTGCAGTGATCATCTCCCTTGAGCTTTACTGTGTTGGGTGAGGGATAGTGTGACTGTAGATCTCCCGTGCCCTATTCATCCACCCACAGCATGAAAGCACCCTTCTCCAATCAAAATTTTAAAGGCACTACAATGCAGAGGCCCCAAGTCCAAAGTCAGATTAGCCTGCCACTGTGGCTGCGGCTGACCACCTTCAAATGTCACAAAAAACATAATCCCTTTGTGATATTGTGCCATTGCCTGGCCTGCACTTTGCAGTGGGTAAGGAGTCTCTCTTAAACTCTGCTGGTTTCTCTCCTCCTTCTGCTTAGGAGCATGGTTGACAATCAGTGTGCATTCAGGACTTTCTTGAGGGTTCTGCATCGTAGTAAAAGAAACCTGCCAGGATTAAAGACTGGTGCTAGTGTTTACAGTGCAGCGCACTAAAACCAGTGAGGTGCTGGCAAGTTTGCCCACTACTATCTACAGTTTATTTAGTTGTGTGTCTTGTGTCTTCTAACCTACTGACGTAGTCTCACTAAGCCACTCCAGTGAGACAAGCTGAGTTGTGTCAGCATCCAGTAAAGGGGTACAGTTACCAAGCCATGAAGTGCTACATCCAACTAAGCACAGATTCCGGTGGAGGCGATGTGTTTTTTTCCCTAGGATGGCCCTACTCTGCCTCTTATTGGCTTACTCTGATATTCTTACAATAACCAATTTCACTCCTCTTGCCTAAACTTAACCAACCCAACCAACGAAGGCAACAAGTATTAGCCAATCTGAGGCAGAGTAGGGCCGGTTATGTCTTCACTAACTTTGGAAAAAGCTGTAGCTAAAAAACCTCGCCTACGACCTTCTAAAGTTTGAGAGTATGTGGTGCTCTGTAAGCTCTGCAAATTGGAAACGGCTTATCACAGCAGTGCAACTGCTATCCACGAAAACTTGAAGCAAAATGATCCCGGAGTACTTTGTCAAGACGGCAGCACCGCGGATCCTGTTTAGTTTTTGTCCCCACACAAGCATGATATATTAGGATTACCAACACTTCACATCTTCATCTCCCCGATGTTAAAAATAATTTCTGCACAGCTGCCGTTATGGTAACATATTGTTACACCATGCATCATCTAGTATTCGGCCATTTTATAATTTTAAAATATGCTACTATTATCATTATTCTAATTTGCTTTATGTGTCTTTTTCAGGATGAGGATTGGATAAAATATTTAATATTGATTTTATCAATATCGATTTATATTAATCGAGTAGGCTAATAAGAAAATCAACTTTACCATAGTCATTAGATTAACTGACTAATCGAACAAATAATCATTAGATTAGGTGCAGCCCCAATAATGTGTAACCATCCATTTGTAATGATGTATCATCAATGAAAATGTTATTACTGCATCATTATTGTGAGCTACATTGGAGGCAAAAGGTTTCACCTTGGCTGAGAGAAAATGCAGTTTGTCTCCTTCCACTCATGATGTGACTGTTTTGAACCATTCCTACATTATCAAGAATGTACTGTGTAAAGTGTGCTCTGAAATCTGATGTTGGCACACTATTCATGAATACTACTGTTTGTGTCCGAGTTGTAGGAACAATTTCTGCCAAATGTGCAAACACTATATCACAAAGGCCTGTACCATTACAACATGCAACAAACAATGTCTAGTGTGTGTGTGTGTGTGTGTGTGGTACATAGTCAGTTGAAATGGTGAGCCTTGTTAGCTGTCCTAACAAGCTGTACCAATTGGCATTTTTGTGAGTGACTTGTAGTGATCATGACTAAAGCCAATGAAATATTATTACATTGTCCTTACACAAACATTCTATATTTTAAGTTTATAAAAACAGCAGGCCTGATTTACACTCTCTTCAAGACAGCCGTCTGACATGTTCTGAAGGTCGAATTGGCCCTTCGGATGTGATGTGGCTGAGGCATTTATGTCACTCTCTGAATTAGAGCGGTTTGAACATGCCACCCACCTCGGTGGCAATAGGCCAGATGGAATGAGGTAAAGGGGGGGTGGGGTGGGGGGGTTGGAAAAGGAGAGTGACACACATTTCTCCTTGAAGCTTCGATCTTCTCACAAAAAGTTCTGGCATGCTACAGGGAAGACATGTGAGGACAGGTGAGAACTATAGCCTCTAGGGTTGTCACAGTTAGGATTTTAGATATTAGGAGGTTGCTGCAAATTGATACACAAGGATTGATTACTGTACTGTACAGACTCATTAAAGATCTAGTGCCTGCATCACAGTATGTGAGTGAATAAGTGACACCGATAGACAATTAAAGATCTGTTTTGGCAGAAAGATCACAGTAAACAAAACAATGGCTGAGCATGCAAAATTGCACAAATTCCAAGACCTAACTAAAACAGACAAGGGCAATGACAATCAGATACAGGTAAGAAGAGTTAGTGTCGTGAGTGCTGGACGATAGCTACCTACATTAGCATAAGAGTGAGAGGAACAGGTATGTAGCAGAGACCACATGTCTGCTTAACAACACGTGTATGAAGGTGGTAGGTATCAGGAAATCGTAATAGGGGGCAGTTATGTGTTTTTCTCTCTCATGGGGAATCAAGCAAAAGAAGATGGTTGTTAATTAACTCTAGTCTGGAGGGAAAATGCGCTGGAGCATTGATATGTAACATGTAATTTTCAACAGGAAATGCACCCTGTACGGTTTTGTTGGTACTTTTGTTCTGTGTATGTGGATTTACTCCCGGTAAAAGATAGGAGGGTGTTATAGTGTGTGGTAGGTGTGTATGTGTTTTGTTGACAGCCATAAATTTCATTATTGTAATGTAAACCAAATATTTAGTTACGTACAGCTGTGACAAAATATTAGTTACATAATATTATGCAAAGCAATGTAAACTAAAACCTCAATACTTGGGTATACAATCTGATAGGGCAAAATTTAGGAAGTCCCCCAAAAGATAGTATTTATTGCAGGAATACTGATTGCATTATATTGTACAGGGGTTTACAACGTGAGTGTGTTTGAATGCAAGCATAGAGGTGTAAATATATTATCTTTCAGTCCCACTGGGATGGTTTGACGGGGAGACTGTCATTCAACAAGACAACTGGTCTACGTACAGACTTCGACCTGGACATCATCAGTCTAAAGGAGGACGGACTTGAAAAGGTAACTTAACTTAATTCTAATAATTCTAATAATTAGGTCTTTTCTTAGAATGCATGTTTTGCTCAGATGGAATAAAAGCACAACAGTGACATGTCATCACAAGCAGTGCATAAAAAAGTCAAACTTCTGTGATGACTATAACATAAAAAGAATTGAATGGATTATTGATTTCAGAAATATGTTTCAGATTTTCCTCTTGATGTTAGACAGATAATGCAAATTTGACAGTATCATTTACCTCCTAACAAGGAAGCAAATTGGCTGTTTCAACATAAGCATAAGTTAGTGGATCATAAAGCAAATTGGATTAGGGTACACATTAGGGTGTTAATTGCAGCCTCTCTTAATGATAATTTGAGGTGATGCCCAAAATGCTTTTTGGTGGCAATGAGCTGTATAAACATGTTTTACAAAAAAAAAAAAGGGGGGGGCGAACTAAAAGGTTGGTAATGTAGAACTTATTTTATTATACTGGAAGGCAAAGTACCCTCTGGACTATAACAGCTTTTCTCTACTAGAGGGCTTTCATACATTATGAATACATCAAATAGGGATAAGTCCCATTATGACTTTCTCAAGTACTCCCTAAAGGCTCAACACTATATAATAGCAGGGGCTTTTCAGCTTGTAACCCTTCTGTTCAAGATTGGAGCTTGTAATACTGCTGCTTTGAAATTCTTCTTCTCCTTTTACTGCCATTTTGTCCTGTGTGTGGTCAATTAATGTAAGTTGAAATACAATCATCTTGCAAAAGTGTATATTAGCATATTAGCATCTTCTCATTGTCTCTCTGACAAATCCTACACTCAAGCATGTTAACGTTGATCCGTACAGTATATCCATGGAATCAGCTTTAACTGTTAGAGCCAGTTAAGATGTGGACTTTTTTCAGCTAATCCATTGTAATTGAATATTAGCCCAGGTTTCCGCTCGTGCTGGATTTATGAACATGCTGAGTGCCACTTTCACTCAACGCCGGTATGCTCAGGAGGGTGAAATAAATGTAATGCTCTCCGTGTGGTTGCATGAGTAAATAACTTTTGAAACAAGACTTTTGCTAATCATGTTTAATGAATTGAGCTAATTGTAATTGGGTACAATTAGAAAGAATTTTGCAAAGCGGAAAGCATTCACAGATATTTTTAAATCTCTCTCCTGGAGTCCTCTTTGGTTGTGTGACAAGCTGTAACTAATGTGCTTTTCAAATTAGAGCATATGCCTCTCCTTGGATTAGGCAAGGGAGGACATTACCAAGAGTTTGTAATGCTTTTTTGTGAGGGGCTGTATGTCTTTAAATGGATCCACCTCAAGCACAAACCCCAGTGAATATTAAAAGCTGTTTCTGTAGTAATAGAGAAAGCAGGAGGGATGGGAGGAGGGTTTGGTGGAAGGCTCGACTTGCAAAGAGAGATTGTTACCGACAGCCACAGGACTATTTGTGCTAATGATATGTTCCAGAGTGTGTCTCTACAATATGCAGAGATTTTTGCCTGAGGCCTTCTCGCATGTATAACTCCTTTTATTTGTTCAAATCTCTTGGCTTATCTCACAGAGACAAAATTACTTTCGCTATGTTATCCAACAACCAACCCCATGCTGTACCTTCATTCAAACTAACTATAACATTTCTCTTCTATTTATGTCCATTTTGTTTTAGCCCCATTGTTTAGTCTTATATTTCTTTTTCCTTTACATTTGCACACGTCAGAAATGCAAAACATTGCTATATGCCAGTATAATATAATGAATCATTATTTGTATACTTAAATTGACTTATGTATAAAGAGCACATTTCATCTACTTTTTGTTTGAACTGAAGAGTTAAATAGAAGCTGTTGCACTGAATATTTCGGAGTATTAAACTAATCAAACTGCAGTCTACTGTATTTTTTCATCAAATGATTCTAGTTTCTCAGATTTGCCCATCATGCATGATTTATTTCATGACATACATCAAACTATCCCCTGTTTTCCAAAACATCCTGGCCTGCTGATATAAAGGTGACTCAGCCGATCATCTAATGCTGCCGGAGATGTGTTCAACCTGGTACTAATGTGGGAGACTGGTTGGCAAAGGAGTCTGCCAGGTTCACAGTCCACCAACAGACATAGAACACTTAACTACACGCTTTTCATCTTCCGCAGGTTGGGAAGTGGAGTGCGTCGGGAGGTCTTAACATCACAGAAGTGCCGAAGCGAAAAGGGATGAACATCACTGATTCCTTGGCTAACCGCTCCCTCATCATCAGTACCATCCTGGTAGGTCACCTGCGTAGCCTGACATAAATGATGTCCTACCCCTTCATGCGTGTTTTCCTTCCAGATAATACATTCAAGCTTTACATTATACATTTTATCATATATTTTGCTCTTTCCACCAGTAATATTCATTGCAATCTAGAAAGCATCAACCTGGTTTTATTCTAAATGTACTGCAACCTTTTGGGAAGTGTCCTCACTTTACATTTCTTTTCTCAGATACTGATGCATAAGATATTTGATCAATTTAAACATTGCACAAAAATAACAGACTTCACATAGGATACATTAATAGGGCTGCACGATTAATCTAATCGAAATCACAATATCGTCTCTTCATGCGCTGCTGTTTGCTTGTTATCCACGCCCACATTCGGGGACTCTTGCATGTGCCTCTAAAAACACATAGGCCTATGTGCAATCAGAAAAATTATTCATGCAGCAGTGTGCCAATGACTTTCAAGACAACTACCTACCGTAGAAAAAAAGTCTAACGTGCTACAGCAAACTTTCAAATGTTGAACAATATGATTATTGAGTTTGTCACGATCGTGGTGTGGAGGCAGGTTGGAGAACCCAAACGCAGGACACAGAGCGGAGCAGGTATGGTATAACGAAGGGTTTTACTAAACAAACAAAAGCGAGCACACTTACAGGTGAGTGGCTGAATAACAGAAATCCAAAAATCCAAAAGTACAGGGAGACGAGACGAGACAAGCAAGGCTGGTTACAGGCAGAGAGTACACACACGACAGACTGGGGGGTAACATGAACAATGACAAGACAGAAACACCAGGTATATATACACACAGGGACTAACGAGCAGGGCGGGAGCAACACAGGTGAAAGACATGAGACTAACGAGGCAGAGAGAGAGAGCAGAGGAAAACAGAGACTAGACATGACGAGCAGACTATATAACAGATACTGGACACTAGACAGGACAGAACCCAAAACTCAACATACCAAGGCAGATACCAAACTCAAAAGTAAACACAAAGGATGGCCAACCGGCAGAGAGTGACAGTACCCCCCCCCTCCGACGAGCGTCTCCAGACGGTCAACAAAACCCAAAACAGCACAAAATCAAGGCACAAGCCGGGAGGACAGGAGGAGGGCAAGTCGAGCCAGGGTGGGCGGAGGGAGGACAGGAGGAGGGCCAGACCAGGAACTCTCAGGAGGGTGGCCAGAGGGCAAGGCAAGGGAGCGACAGAGTTCGGGAGGTCGCACAAGCAGGCCAAGGGGACAAAACAGTCCGGGGAAACCACCCAACAGGCAGATCATGCCCAGGAAACAGGGCAGGTAAGGCACTTGGCCTAACATGCAGGGCAGGGCAGAGAGACAGAACAGTTCAGGAGGCCGTCCCGGAGGGCGACTCAGGAGGCCGAGCAAATCAGTGGGAAAACACAGTTCAGGAGGCCGTCCAGGGTGGCCAGAGGTGAACAAAAGTTCAGGAGGCAGACCCGGAGGTCGACCGAGTAGACCAGGAGGGCAAAACAGTTCAGGTGGGCGTCCCGTGGGACGACCCATGAGGCAGGGCAGAACAAGGGGGCCACAGAGTTCAAGGGGTTGGCAGGACGGCCAACAGTGAGGCAGCAACCCCACTGGGGGCCGAGCAGGAGGCCTACGGCAAGACCTCTCCGGAGGTCGGCACCCAAAGCTTGGGTGCTCTGGAGGCACAGCTGGGCTGAGGACCACCGGCGAGAGAGCTGGGCTGGGAACCATGGACCGGACACGAGGAGCTGGAGTCGGCCTGACCACCGACTGGACAGCTGGGCCGGGAACCATGGACCGGACACGAGGAGCTGGAGTCGGCCTGACCACCGACTGGACAGCTGGGCTGGAGACCATGGACCGGACACGAGGAGCTGGAGTCGGCCTGACCACCGACTGGACAGCTGGGCTGGAGACCATGGACCGGACACGAGGAGCTGGAGTCGGCCTGACCACCGACTGGACAGCTGGGCTGGGGACCATGGACCGGACACGAGGAGCTGGAGTCGGCCTGACCACCGACTGGACAGCTGGGCTGGGGAACATGGACCGGACACAAGGAGCTGGAGTCGGCCGGACCACCGACTGGACAGCTGGGCTGGGGACCATGGACCGGACACGAGGAGCTGGAGTCGGCCGGACCACCGACTGGACAGCTGGGCTGGGAACCATGGATCGGACACGAGGAGCAGGGGTCGGCCTGACCACCGGCGGGGCTGAAGCCGGTCCATCCGCCGACAGGACACGAGGAGCAGGGGTCGGCCGGACCACCGGCTGGGCTGAAGCCGGTCCGTCCGCCGACAGAACACGAGGAACAGGCTGGGCCACCAACGGAGCTGGTGTTGGTCGGACCACCGACGGGAGAACAGGAGTCGGCTGGGCCACCAACGGAGCTGGTGTTGGTCGGACCACCGACGAGGGAACAGGAGTCGGCTGGGCCACCGGCGAAGCAGGTGCCGGTCGGACCACCGACGGAGCATGAGGAACAGGAGTCGGCTGGGCCACCGGCGAAGCAGGTGCCGGTCGGACCACCGACGGGGCACGGGGAGCGGGAACCGGTCTGGCCACCGACGGAGACCTTGGAACTGGTGTCAGTCGGACCTTCGATGAGGGACCAGTAACAGGTGTCGGTAGGACAACCGAGTGAGACCTGGGAGCAGGAGTAGGCCAGGGATCAGGCAGGCGGCTAGCAGCGCTAGCAGGCTGGGGATCAGGCAGGTGGGCAGGCAGGCTGCTAGCGGGCCGGGAATCAGGCAGGCGGCTAGCCGTTCTAGCAAGCCAGGGGACAGGTTTGTTGCCGACGGGTCGCTGATGGTGACCTCGTCGCCTCCGATGACCACCACGGGAACCCGAAAAGATGGCTAGGCGACTCCCTTCAAAGGACGACTCTGGGGAAAGCCTAGCCTCCAGGCTATCAGGCCATAGTGTAGCTGCCCGTGCTGCCTCTGACTCCCTGGCCTTCCTGGTCAGGTAGGCCAGGAGAGTCATAGTCCCTGAGTCCTTGGTAGGTAGGGCAGGCAGGCGGACGGACAGGCTAGGCGGAGGACTAGCAGCGCTAGCCAAGCAGGATACAGGCAGGACAGGCGGAGGGCTAGCAGCGCCAGCCGAACAGGTAACAGGCAGGACAGGTGGAGGGCTAGCGGCGCTAGCCAAACAGGTAACAGGCAGGACAGGCGGAGTGCTAGCAGCGCCAGCCGAACAGGTAACAGGCAGGACAGGCGGAGAGCTAGCAGCGCCAGCCGAACAGATAACAGGCAGGACAGGCAGAGGGCTAGCAGGCCGGAGAGATGACGGCCGGAGGCTAGCGGTCCGGGTGTTAGCCATTTCCAGGCTAACAGACTGAGGATCTGATGAGGACTTGGCTGGGGGATTGGCTGAGGTGTGGAGGAAGTCACAAACCCACCCAGGGAGAGAGTCTGCTGCTCCTGGCTGAGCAGCCAGGCTCTTCCAGGCAAGGGACACGATAGCTGCCTTATGGCTAACATGACTAGCCCCATACCACATATTCCTCAGCACCATAAGCTCCCGGCACAGATCAAGCAGTTCATCGGACATGGTGTCCGCTGGGTCCCTTTGTGGTCCGGTCATTCTGTCACGATCGTGGTGTGGAGGCAGGTTGGAGAACCCAAACGCAGGACACAGAGCGGAGCAGGTATGGTATAACGAAGGGTTTTACTAAACAAACAAAAGCGAGCACACTTACAGGTGAGTGGCTGAATAACAGAAATCCAAAAGTACCGGGAGACGAGACGAGACAAGCAAGGCTGGTTACAGGCAGAGAGTACACACACGACAGACTGGGGGGTAACATGAACAATGACCGGACAAGGACAAGACAGAAACACCAGGTATATATACACAGGGACTAACGAGCAGGGCGGGAGCAACACAGGTGAAAGACATGAGACTAACGAGGCAGAGAGAGAGAGCAGAGGAAAACAGAGAGACTAGACATGACAAGCAGACTATATAACAGATACTGGACACTAGACAGGACAGAACCCAAAACTCAACATACCAAGGCAGATACCAAACTCAAAAGTAAACACAAAGGATGGCCAACCGGCAGAGCGTGACAGAGTTAGTACATAGCATTAACAAATTTGAGACCACTATACATAATTTTTCTTGTACAAGGATTAAATAAATAAAAACAACACACCGAAATTAAAAAAGCTGTAAATGGATTTAATATTCAACTAGTGGTAAAATTGTATTCTATTATATGAAACTATAATGAATATAGTAATGAAAGGTTCAGTGTGTAATATTTCTGAGGATGTAATATGCAGAAATGCAATATAAGATCCATAACTATGTTTTCAGTGGTCTGTAAAGACCTTACATAATAAACCATTATGTTTTTATTACCTTAGAATGAGCCATTTATATCTACATAACCGCGGGTCCCCCTTTACATGGACGTCGCCATGTTGCATAGTCATGTTTTTACTGTAGCTGAACAAACAGCGCTACACTATTCGTCACTATGTTATTCTTTTTCTACTTCTGGTAAAATTCAGGCAGTGTAGACACTCATCTCTATGTTGAAGACGTACATTCAAAGAAGAAGTAGTAATAATATACAGCATCATATTGTTTGGTTAGCTTAGTCGGTAAGGTCCATGTCTCACAACTAATGGTTTAGTGTTCAATCCCATCTCGGGATGGGACAAATTTTTTCTCTCTTCAACAAGCGAATGTTTTTCAGATCATGGCATGTGCTGCAGTGTTTGTGTTTCAGTGTTTGATCCACATCCATCATCCTATGGACGCTTTTTCAATTCACCAGTATCTCCAGGCAGAGGACATTTAGGGGAATCATGTTTTCTGACGGCTCTTTCAGAGGTGTGTCAAGCAGACAACAGACTCTGTCGTTCAGAATTTGTCAAAGTAAAAGCTTAGTTCAACTCCAAATACAGCATTGCAGTAAACAAGCTTCCCGTGCTTTTATTTTGTAGGCAAAACCACTAAAGAGGAAGTGATTATGTGAGTAACTGTTGCTGCCATGACTGAGATTGTTATCAAAGTATTTATTTATATATTTATATTTTTTGCTGAAATCAAAGCACTATAATCTGGCAGTGGGACAGAAATTATTGCTGACGGGCAGTTTTGGCAAGGGTCCATAATCACAGAGAGAATTAATGTGTTTCCCTTGTCAATGTTTGTATAAACTTTATCTGTTATGTGGTTTATAATGGACTGTGGTGCAGAAACAATGACAATGTTACATGTTACTGAATAATTAAGTAAATATAATTTCTTAATAAATATCCCTGAAGAAACCTAATTTCTTGACTGGCTACTACACCTTTTGAGCTGTGTCAGCCACCATAGCTGTCCTACGCTCTTTGAAAGGGTAGGGGGCAGTCGTAGACCAGACCGATGTTTGCAATTCACAACCCTCACCACTAGATGCCACAAAATCTTATACACTGAACCCTTAATATATTATTATTATAGGCTACTAACAGTATACTTTTAACTGAACAGTATACGCTTTATTTAATGTTATAATATTATACTAATACATTCATATATACTAGTTCCTCCTCCAGGTTGTAGATAGTGTCTCTGCAGTGGACATATGTAGAAAAATTACTAAGAATTTTAAATTTTAAGTCTGCCTCCATTATCATGAATTTCATGTGTGTGCAAGAATGGGGAGCTTGACAGGTTTAGAAACAGTAAGGGAACAGGGGATTAACAAACAGTCAATTATCAATAATGATTTTAAAGTTATATCATGATCATTTAAATTGAGAAAGTCTGGAGCAAAAAAAATGAGACAGTGAGACACAATGAACTACTCCTGAGAATGCATTAATTACATGTGCAGAGAACTAGGTGACCCCTTCCCCAGTTCACATTCATTTGTAGATCCCCAATTGTATGTATTTAACGCTGTCACTGGATGTTGGGGTCTTTGTGGAGCTATCAGGGAAGTGCCAACACAGATGTCTGCCTAAGCACCTTTTCTGGACAGATATATACAAGCTACAATGATAAACACTATCATCACGCCTATATTGGACCACAAGGCTGTAATTATGAGAGGTGAGGTCAAGGCGAGACATAATTAATGCCTATCAGGTGCCATCTATGTTAATTCCATCTCAAAGAGTTGAACAAGGATTTAAGTGGTGTAATGTTAAACTAGCCTACTGGACTAGGAAGTGCCAGAATATGCTGATTTTATGTTGTGGTTAGAGTGGTGTTCATGTTGATGTGTTTCTCACCAGGTAGTTTCAGTTGCATTTTGGGATAATTTTTGCCTTGAAGTGCATTTGAATATTTCCGACGTGTTACTTGATTTGCTATTTTGTTGGGAATCATTACTTTGAAATGACAAAACTGCCTATTTTAAATTGCTGAAGAGTTTCAACTTTAATATGAATCTCCCCTCTTAGTGTAATGACATTGCATCAAACTGATTCCAGTGATGCATGAACAAGACGTCTGACAGCTTTATAGTGATAACTTTGTTGAAGAGATTAAGGCACTTAATGTGTTTTCCCACTTACATTAATTGTTTGCACTCCATTGCCTGTGATGTCTCTGCGCAAGCCCACCTCCCTCCTCTTTCTGTTATGCACGCCCATGCTGCGACTATGAGGGTAGAACTGGTATAAACACTTTGATTTGAGTCCAAACCTTAGGGAATAGCAGAATCGGAAGGCTAGAAACAGATGGTAATGACTTTTTCCCTTAACATGCAAACTTTTTGATCAAGTTAATTGGACAACTTGAGCAAAGTTTGTGGTTAAGCACTTGCTCTCTAAATGCATTGTCATCAAGTATTCATAACATCTTATTTTAAGAGGTCTCCTAATTGTAATGTCCAAGTGGCTTCACATTTTGATTGCAAACAATTTAAGTTTTTTTTTTCATTTATTCTATATATTTCTAGGCATTTTTATTTTGTTAGAATTTATGGAATACTTTATGCCCTGCTTGATATTAATTTGGTTTGCACTGTTCTTTATAGGCAAATAACTTCAGCAAACCGTGAAACTGTGTCCACATGCCACCAGCATGCCCCTCCACCGTCGCCACCCCCACTTTCCTCCATGAAAAACTATTTCCTGAGGGAAAAAAGAGTGCCATAACTGCCTATTTTCTACTCTTTGACTGTATCTGCTTACTTAGGGCCACACAAGCTACAGTTATTTTAAAAAACACACAAAGCAAGGGGTCACCTTCACTAGAGAATCAATTACTGTGCTTCTGAGCTCAGTTTGTAAATTATACATCTGGCTATTGGAGGCAATAAATTGTATTACAGCCCTTGTATAAATGGAACAACATGTTTTGAGATGCACAGCAGGATATCCCAGTCTATGTGGCAGGGAAATGGTAAATAAAGGAAATCATTTATGAGCGATTCTGTGTTAGTCATTGTCACTGCAGGCATCAGCTCAGTTGCTCTCCCTTCGAGGTTGGTGTCAATTGATGAAGGCAACGTCGTGGGCATGTTCCATTTCACTGCGGCATTCTGTTCCTAATCAAGCTTTTATACAGCCCAAATTATGAGCAGCCAGGCAGGATATTACAGGCCAGTAAAGAGTGTCAGCTACCTGACCATAAAATGAACTGACCTGTGCACTGGCTATATAGGCCAACGCACAGCAGTGAGGTAGGAGACATTAGGTTTAGTTAGCTTAACATTGCAGGCACATTGATAGTATAAACATTCCTTCTGTGTGCATTAAATACCGTTATTTATAATTACCCTATACCAAACACTAGTCGAAGTCTTGCAGTTTACAATACATTTACTTGCACTACAGTATTCCTTTCGTTAAAACATCAATGTAAGATAAACATCAGCTGTATTTCATATTTTAACACTCCCTGTATCCGCACACTGAACTTGTGTCTGCTGTCAATGCCTGCTAAATGCAACTGCGACTCATCAGCTCAGATCACTTTGCTTGAATTAGATGCATGTGTTGAAACAAATTGAAAAAGCTGACCTCACCATTGCTTTTTATTTGATCTTTTGGGTCTGTGCAGGAGGAGCCATATGTCATGCTTAAGAAGTCTGACAAGGCGCTGGTTGGAAACGACCGCTTCGAAGGATTCTGCATCGACTTGCTCAAAGAGCTGGCCAACATCCTGGGGTTCACGTATGAGATCCGTCTGGTGCCTGATGGGAAATATGGCTCTCAGGACGAGAAGGGCCAGTGGAACGGCATTATCAGGGAACTTATAGAACATGTAAGTTATACTTCATATTGTCTGCCTCATATTTTTTCAGGAATTCTTACGCCTATTTGCCTTCTTGTCAAGAATTAGATGAGAAGATCGATGCTACTTCCATGTCTGTACGGCAAATATCTAGCTGATGCCAGCAGCTTGTTAGCTTAGCTTAGTAGTTGCCAGGCAACAGGCTGAGACTCTTAGAAGTTACTGCTTCTGCCAAGAAATAGTCGGGTTATAACCCTTAAAACGGCAACATTTGTAGAGATTAAACAAATGAGGCATCACATGTTAATTACTGAACTTTAGAGATGCTGGTAGGTTACCTTTGGACAGAGCCAGGCTAGCTGTTTCCCCCGTTTACAGTCTTCATGCTTAACTAAACTTATCAACTGCTGGCTCCTACTAAATATTTATTGTACAGGCATGAGAATGGTATCAATCTTCTTGTCTGACTCTGAGTAAGAAAGTGAATGAGCGTATTTCCCAAAATGCCATACAGTTTTTTTTTTATTACTATCTGCTGCATCTTTACAATTATGCAGCTCCATCCACGGTAAAAGTATTTTACATCATCACGCAAACTTAAAAAAAAGCATGCCACTGAACTGAACTGCAAGTTATGTCCTCTGTTTGGCCAGTTATATGGGTATGATTGAGTACAAGGCAGCAAGAGAATACAAAGCTTTCAGTTACATTTATGACACAATTATATCAAGTTTGCCTAAAAGTTACAAGTGTGATGATGCCATTAAGTGAGACAAACCACTTCCTTCAGCTGGGTAAACCAGAGACATAGGATGAGCATGTGATGCTGTATATATTGTAAGGATACTGGAGAAAACACCAGCAATCATCTTGCTGAGGCGTAGCAGACAATCGCAGCTGTCTGTGTCAAACTCAAAGCCTCAGCGGCCTTGAAACTGCCTCACATCGGAGTGATGGTGGCAATTCTCTGCTGGCATTTCATAAGTGTCCCTGTCATTGCTCTCCCTTTGTCCTCAGCCCCATCGGGTCAGAGCTGTACTCAGCTGAAAACTTGTAATAGCTTAAGTGGCATTTAGTGCAAGGAATCGTATGGCAGGAGTCAATGGCTTGGTGCTGAAAGGGTTGGGAAAGGTGGCCTCCCACTGCAGCACTTTATTTCTCAGCCCAAGCTTTTTGCTAGAGCCATGTTAATAACAATAACCTTGAGGGGAACAAATGGATTACTAAAGGCAGAGAATGCTGCCACGAAATGGAGATGCATGACTCCATTATTAAACAGCACATATGCTCTTTGTATTAGTCTGTTCTCTGGTTTAAAGCAGTGGTTCTCAAAATAAGGGGCTGGCCCCCATGGGGGTGCATAGAGGCACTGTACTGGGGTGTGTGGATGACCAGGGGGAAAATATGCAGTGGAATGTTGAATGAACATGATTTATGTAGGGGAATAAAAAAAAAACAAGAGTTTGCTGATCGTGCTGACCTGAATCATTTATTTTGTTTCAATTGATTGCTGGGCTGGGCTCCTTTTTTATTTGTGGCTCCCCCAATATTGTCAAATAAATCCATTTACATCCATCCATTTACATTAATTTACAGCCAAACAGAAACATTTGTATTGTGGTGTTGTTGTTTGTGACTTAAGATTTACATGTGCTCTGTGAAGATGTAGCATCTGGTGACTTAGACCACTTTACGGAGCTTACTGTAAATATGAACGTACGCTGCTGAGCACACACACACCCATACCAATGAGTGGCGCCAGTTGCTTCTGTTGTATAGAAGATAAATGATAAATTATCAGATAAATACAGTTAAAGCATGAATTTAAGTATGGCGTTTAAGAATGTATTGTATCTATTGCTATGTTTTTAGTCTACTGCCTTTGTAAAAAGCAGCAGAAGTGAAGATTAGAATCTATACTGCTAGTTATTGCTTATATTGCTCCTTATCGCATGACCAAGGACGCATGACATCTTCTTTGTGGATTTTTAGTTGCTTCTATTTTGTGGTCTAGTGCTTTCCTTACCCCTGTTGGTATGGATAAGCTGATTGTGATTCAGCAGACCTGAAACATCAACTTTAAGGCAAGCTCTAGAGATATGACCCTGGAATGATATAAGAGGCCACAATGGCCACAGATTTTCTTGAGAGTAAACCTCAAAGTACCACATCTCACTGAAGGAATAAGTTTGGGTTGTATTTCTTCCCAGCTCTAACAAGAACTGGATCAAGTACTGTAAAATGCTATTTTCCTATGTATATATTTCTGTAGATTGCATGTATGAATTGCATTAATTGTGTACACCATGTACAAAGAGATAAAAAAGGGAAAGGTAAATGACTGTCATAGTTCTTATCTGTCCCATTTTTATTCATAATTACTTTCTATTAACCTTTTAAAAACCCATCGCCCCCTCCTTGTAACACAGATAGATAAGATGTTTAACAGTTTACTGGGGACCACTGCCTTAACTTAAAAAAGATTCACAGACTTAGATAAGTCCTGTGGTAGAAAGCAGGGGAAAACATTTGGTTTTAGCTGATAAAAAGGTGCTGAAACACAAAGCTCATGCATTAATGCTATCAGCTCACAAAGGGTGCCCTCATAAATCACAGTTGCATTACAGAATTACACAAAAGCATTTGACTGACATATTTCTAAGAGAAAAAGACTTTAAATCTATTTTTTTATCAGTTGCATGCCTTCACTCATCTCTGTAGGTCATGAAGTTATTTTCACACAAAGAAAGTAATGTGACATAGTAAAGCTCTGTGTTTATGTTTGTGTTTGCCTTTATATATATCATTGGATGATTATGATTCTATTATATGGTTTACTCCCCATGTAACTGATTGACTGAGCATTGTGTAACATACAGCCCTTGATTTTCCTCTGAGTAGTCACAAAGCTCACTGCAGTGCCAAAGGGCATTGTTTAGAAGGTGCTAAATGATGCAACAGGCCTTGTTAAACTTGATTTAGTCACAATAGATGATCACTTTAATGTGTGATGCAAATGTTAATAGCATGCTTAGCACATCATTTGCTGCGTCATGGCAATTAATATTTGCTTCGACAGAAGGCTGTAAGCCAGCCCACATCCTCTTTGTCTACAAATATTATAGTCGATTAGATTTATGTCTGAATAAAAAGCCACGCGACTTTTTGGTAACCGGGACATGTGACTGGAAGTGGATGGACAACTGTGATTGTTATCTGAGACAGTAGGATGACCTAGTGGTGAGAGTGGTTGACCTATGGCTGCAAGGGCAAAAGTTCAACTGCCTCAACAGCAAACATGTCTGTCTCCCCTGCCAAAGCACCCTTGAGTAAATCACAGTTCCCGGCCATCATGCTCTGAAAGGGCTTCTTATGCAAAGCAACAATTTCTTGATTACATCGCATATGCTTCATCATCAACCCTTTGTATATTTTGATAAGAGACTATGTTATATAAGGAGTGTTCAGACACATCTATACTGTTGTGCACTGTGTGTCACGCTGTGCATTCATTCCTCACCACAGGTTTTGTAAATGCATGTACAGCATACAAGTGGCCAATCAGACATTTATATATTCCCTCACCATCCCTATAGCAAAAATTGCTGTCTGTTGTCTGCGGCAACCATTGCATAATTCAGCAAATTGTGCTTCTGCAATTGCAACACATTCCACCAGAGAAAAGTTTGCTCTTGAATTTTCTCTAAATATTCATAAAAAGAACAAGCTGTAAAATGCAAATAAAGACCGTATAGCATAGTAATGTTCGTTGAGGGATAACACGCATTGGTTGTAAGCACTAGCATCTAATTTCTATATGTTTAGCGCTGAAGCAAATGTACTAATGCCATATGCTGTCTTTAATCGTTTCACAGAAAAAAACAGATTAAGAAACAGCTCACTTTAATAATGCTAAGTATGTTCAGTTCAGTCAGTAGTTTTGAAATGCATGGATAATGTTAGCTGTAACTTCATGAATCCTCCAGGCTGTCATCAGGTGAGGAGGTCCAGAGGGAGAACACCACTAAGCCCACCATCTGCAAACCCAGATAACACTCAGCCATGTGGCACGCAGCAGGGCACTATCAGGTTATCTTGCTTGTGCCCAGTCTGTGTGCCTAAGCAGTAAGCAGAACAAGGACATGCAGCATGTATATTAGCCCACCGTAGGGATGTCTGGAAACGCATGCTGGTTGATCTTCCGGCTGAGTGGCAGGTTGGTTCAAAGCGGCAGTTGGCAGCAAAGAACAGAGGGAGCAGTATGTGATGTACAAATTTGAATAGTTTAAGAGAGACAGCAGATGCACTGCAGGATGCACCGGTTTTCCCATCTTTCCATCTCTTCAGAGGCCACCATGTATTTAGCCACCATGGTGCTGAACACGGGAGTGCGTAATCCGTAGTGCCACATTCAAAGTGGAAATGTTAACTTTCTGACCTTTGTTTACTGCCACGTGGTAGTTATCACATGCATCTGTGGGGAGAATTGTCGAAGCCATAGGGAAAGTTAAATTCATGTTAAGAACAGCCTTATGGTCTAGAAACTGAGGATTTATAGTAAAAAAACCAAATGTTTTAAGGTGTTAAAAAACAATAAGATGCCATACAATACTCCAGTTCACAAGAGGGAAGGACATGTTTGCACCAGTCAGATCGTTTTCTTTTGATCTTATTAAGGTTATGTGTGTTTCTGGGATGAGCTGATTTAATTCCAGCAGGGTTAGGTTTAATGGCTTTGCATAAAGATCCAACACAAACATGAGATCTCATTTTACCTGCTGAAAATGATGTACTGTGAATTGCTGAATGTTCCTCTCTCAGCGCTCAGTATGTAGGGAGAAAAGTTGTGCTGTTTCTTGGCGGCAAGAGGTATCCTAGCGTGAACCAAGCAGCTGGTTTCATTAACCTCCTGTCCAGACATGGTGCAGGGGAGTTGTGGGGGCCGCCAATTTAAATGGTAACCTTCTAAATATTTAATACATAATAGGTGACTGCATCTTCTCTCTAATGCCCAGCCATGTCCATTGCATAATACTATATGGTGTGGTATGTGATTCTAATGACACTAGTAGGGATGAAATGGTATGAAAATTTCACATCACAATTATAGTGACCAAAATTATCACGGTTATCAGTATCATCACGGTATTGTAAAAATGTGCCAAAAAAGATTAAAATGTACTGATACACACACTGAAACCATTTCAACAAGTTTTATATTGAAAACTACAAATACAATTGCCATTTTGTTTGCATAAAAAATAAAATAACAGCAAATACCTTTTGTAAACATATGAAAATCATCTAAATGTGCATTATCAAGATTTAATATTTAATATTAAATAGGTAATACAATGACCCCGTGGACAATTACATGAAAACAAATAAGTCTTTAGAAGACAGTGATAGTAACTGCAATGAGCCCAAAAACTGACGTAAATACAGATGAGTCTGTAGCGTTTCTAGATATGCTGGTTGGTTGACTAAACTGCATAACGTGTTATCACGTGCAGTGGGCGAATAGACTCTGCCGACACACGACGCACACAGCAGCAGAACAACGTGTAGCGTTTTTACAAGAGCAGCAAACACTGAGAGCTTCAGTTTACAAGCTGTTAGCAAGTCAGAGACAAACCAAAGCTAAAAGTTAACTCACCCTACGTTCACTATAAGGTCATTTTCTTCAATCAGGTTTCCCTCAGCGCTCTCATAAAAACTAAAATACGATTGACTGAAAAATCTCCGCAGCGTTGTCTTCCACCGTGTTGTCATTGACCCAAACAAGCCTATGATGCATTCTACGCATGGGCGCCTTTTTCTGGGAGACGCTGGGCAGTGTTTGCCGTGAGATTATAATAGCGTACTCGGTTATCATGGTAATTAAAATGTGTACGGTAATAATAACCGTCAGAAATTTTACCATGGTTTACCGTACCGGCAAACTTCATGGTAGTTCATCCAATGGCTGTCAAGACATATCACTAAAAGCCACAAATGTCAACCCCCTGGTGGTCCTGGAGAGACTCAACAAAAAACATTTGGATCCATCCTCTGTGTACCATGATTGTATACTGCCACCTCTAAAGCCACGCTAGCTTGCTAGTTAAAAAAAAAAAATCACTGTCAATATGAAAATAGGAATCAGAAAATTTGTCCATTTATGTATTTCTTTTTTCCACTACAGAGAGCAGACTTGGCAGTTGCTCCTCTCACCATCACCTACATGCGTGAAAAGGTCATCGACTTCTCCAAGCCCTTCATGAGTATGGGTATCAGCATCCTCTATCGGAAACCCAATACCACCAATAACGGCTTCTTCTCCTTCTTGAACCCCATGACTCCTGACATCTGGGTCTACATCCTCTTGGCCTACCTGGGTGTTAGCTGTGTCCTGTTTGTCATTGCCAGGTATGTTTCATACAATTTGTCCCATCAGTACTTCATACATTTTCCATGAGGTCTTTCAATAGTAATTTACTTGGTTATCATTGCAGGCTGCGATTAGAGTATACCAGCCCATTTCTCATACTGTGTTAGCTGCTGGGTAGTGATCAAGGCAGTTATGTCTACATGGGCTCTCTACAGCTCAGCAGTGGGCGGAGGAATAGAAAAAACCTTTAGTTGAGTTGCAAAGTCACATTCTGTGTGCAATTTCTTGTTTCCTGTGCAATGTCTTTGGAATTGGCAATGCTGTTTTAAACGGTGCACCTTAAAATGATCGTTTAAAAAGATGAAATACTTGCTGAAGGAAAAAATTATAACTTCTCTAATTATCATATTTTCAGTACAAAGAAAAAAATTTACACACCTGATGTGGCATTTCATCTGAAGAGGCTATTTATAGTTGATCATCAGCATTTACATAGAAAAATTAAATTCCTGGCAGTAATAAGTCATAAAATTATTATGGATGGAGATTATCTGTTTGATTGGCTGAAAAGTATCTCACTTGTTTACAATTATTTTTTGGTCATGAATATGATGAATATCCTGTTAGTATCATTGTCAGTACTTCCTGCTGCTTCTCATGCAAAGTGGTGCTTGAGGAAGTTTTAGAAAAGCGGGCACTGAAAGGAGTTCTTGGGCTTGAGAGCAAACAGCTGCACTCCTCATTCGTTGTTGTGAGACCAAACAGATTCTGGAGTGGCTTCACATAAGTACAAAATCATCTTAAATTGTTGCATCAGTTTTTTGGAGGCCGGCCTAGATAGTTGAAAAGCTGCATTCCTAAAAGTGCATCATCTTAGCATAAGACAGACAGCGGTAAACAATAAGAGGGCTACTTAAGTAGGCAATTTTAAATGCTGGACAAAGGTGTCAAGGCATTACCAACAATTTAAAGCAGAAAACACTTTCAAAAGCTCTGCTGCACCATAATAATCAGGTTATGTTGCAAGGTACCTTATATTTATTTGTCCAAAGAGACATTTTAGTCCAGAGATAGATTACATGTAAATATACTGTAATGTATATGTGCCTGTGAAAAAACTGCCTATACCTTAAACCAAGGATTTTAAAGGATGTAATGAGAGGCTCTACTTATATGAAAAGCAGCAGCAGCAGCAGCAGCACACTGACCTGACTTCTCATTCATTGGATGAAACAAATGACCAATCATCAATCACATGTGATTGGTTGATAGATCTGTCGCTATTGGTCACCCTGGGCCTTAATACAGGCTTGGGTAAACCCCTCCATAATAATAATAATAATGATGTATAATTAATAATCCTGTATTAAATAAATACTGCACTTACTGAAGATTATATTCATGTGATATGTTACATGTCGTATTCATGCTATTGGCCTACACTAATCAGGGACATGAATTTAGGAGGAACATGAGGAATTCATTAACGAGGCACATGTTGATAAAAAGTTTATGGTTTATAAACCATTCACAAAACATATCAAATGCTGCACTGCGGGACAAAATGTCTGTCCACCTCTGACTCATCTGGTGGTGGCTGTCAGAACATCATCCATTCTACAGACGCCTGTGATGCTTTGTACTTTGGATTAGCTTGCAGCCTTGTCTGCAGCATGCAACAGGTCGGTGAGCTCCTGGCTTGGGGGTCACACTATCCATCGTGACACCCCCTCAAAGCTGCTATCTTCCTCATACGACATCAGATCCATTGTGACGCATATCTACAACGCCACTTCCTCTGCTGCTAGTAGACTCTGCCTCACTTCGAACAGCTGTAAACACAAACACAACAGACAATCAGTTCTGCAGGCTTAGAAGGTAGGTTAAAGCAAAAAGGCAAATGTAGGTTAAACATGTTGCTCTTCAAATAGGCCTAACTCCAACACATTAAATCAGTTTGGGCAACCAAAAAGATTGCTAATATGCCTAACTAAAAACCTTTGTAATACATTATAAATAACTTAAATAGTAACACTTTGTGTTTCTATAATTAATCTTTGATTACATTTACTTGTAGACGAAGGGGTAAACTTCTCTTTTCAGTGGTATTTAAATCTTACCACTTAACATATACCAAATAATGCAGAATATTTGAATATTAAGTAGTTAAACATTAGATGACCGTACCTGTTGCATCATTGGTCTAAAGTAGTTGCAAATTCAATCTAATATTTCGCTTTATGTGTTTGCGTTTGTGTGGCTGTCAAGCTGTTTCCAGACCACCTCCTGTGTGTAGGCTATACTCTTGGCCTTTAGCTAATAGTGTTGTTTAGCAGGCAGTTTTGTATTGGGTTGTTCAGGAAACAGCTTTAAGCAAGCTTATGGCTCTGCTTGCCAGCACAACCTTTTTAGAAATTTGCAGAGAACCAGGGGAATTGAATCAGCACTGTCACAATGTCTGTGTGGAAATTTCACCCAAATAGTGTAAAGAAGACATTTCTTTTGCTTTGATTTGTGGCCTGTTTAAGTCCAGTTCATGTGTAGTTCGTATGTGCCTCTCCTATTTCCCACGCATCTCCACTATCACATATTATGTGACCGTGTCTTTCCCTTTAACATTATAGTAAACAAAATGAGCCTGAATTTATTAGAATGGTAGGTAGCACCACATTTATACAAGAGCTGGACAAGGCCTGCAAAATGTTATGAAGGGCACATGAGTTGTGAATGTTAAGAGAAGCACTTTTGAGATAAAACACTAGTGAGTATATTTGACAAGTCCTTTTCAGTTCAGATGTCTGGCTGCCTAAACATGATGAGAAATACTTGAATGACGGCGGGAAAAGACTCTTTCACGATTGACCACCAGTCGTGTTCAGTGTCTGATTAAAATAGACTGCTGACATTAAAAAATATGTCTTGCATGTAGATTGAAGTGTATCTATATTTTGAACAATATACATTTCACTCAAATCATTCTAGAGTATTCTCACTAATGTCAGTCAGAACTAAGAAAATGCACTTGAGGACTCACCATTATGAGTTCCAGTGTTGTGGACCATTTTAGTTACTTATGTGGTTTCTGGTCATTAGCATTTTCTTTTATATCTCATCAAAGTAACAGATATGCCACATTTTGAGGAGATACTATCTGGAGTATAAGGTATCCAATGCTACTTAGCAGAACACCCAGAATAAAGAGAAGGTAAGAGACAGAAAAATATTTTTTCACATTATATAAATATGTTTTAAAAGGTTAAAGTAGTGACATTTAGCATGTTTTATCTCAGCATCTGCCTCTAAGAATTACTTGTGCAATAAAGGTGTGCAGCATTTTCAGCAGGTGCCACACTAAATGGCAGAGATATGGAAAGATGTATGCTTTGTGGTTTTATGGGACTTTACGAGGCATCTTTATACCTCACATTCTCAAACATGACATTATACCCTCTAAAAAATTATATTTTTGAGCCTCATTGGTCACTTTAAGCACAAAGCATATAAGAAATTGTTGAGGAAATTTCTAAAGGTACAGCTAAACCAGGACTACTTTATTTTTAAATGTTTCCATGTGACATTTAATAATAGATAACGATAAAACCAGTGAAACTGCTGCATATAAATAACTTAAAATGTATGTATGGGTAGCCACATTGTTCACTTTAAGGTTTTGGGTCCCTTTTGTTACAGCTCCCATCAACCTTGCTTCCTGTTACGGTCCCACTCACCAATCAGAGCACAGGGTGTGTACATTTTATAACAACAAACGTAACTAGAGGAAAACGTCAGATAATGGCGTCAGGCGAACAGATACAGGCAGCGGTGTCAACTCACAGTTAAGTGTTTCAGTAGCGGAGCGTTTAGCCTGCCCTACAATGTTGGCATGTTGGTAATTTGTCCTTTGTTGTCCTTCAACTATGGATAACAGCTCTCTGTTTCCAGTTTTTCATGGTTCTCCGCAGGTTACATTTCCCATATGGAGCATTTCAGAATAAGAGTGTTTTGCCTGCCTGATTTTGCTGACTTGTTTAGATTTTGTTAAGTTGTTCAGCTGTCCTTGATTTTTGTGCTTCTACCATAGTTAAGTAGGCTACATAGTTAAATTGTTTATTTTTATGTCTGTTTTAACTGTGTTAATTGTTGATACATGATCGGGAGTCTGCACAGGGCATTTTATTTTGAAAATCAACCATATTCTCTATGCCGTTCTGTGTCTGACTTCCTACCAGGTTCATCTGCTCTGTGCTGTTCAATGCGCCTTCCGTCAAAAATAGACTGACAGTGAATATTGAACCTAAGCTAAACTTTAGAAAAACAACATGAATTGTTATTGCAATATCTGGCAGAAAAATCTTTTCCCCAAATCGTTCAGCCCTAGTTAGAAACTAATGGGTGAACATAAAAGAGCATGTTGCCGCTAAAGAGACATATATTTTTCTTAGGAGTAGGTGGAGACCAAAACAGAGCTGAAAGGAGAGTGAATATTTGACTTATCAGTCAGCCAGAAACACGACTCCATTTTAGTGAGTGTTGCTCTGCATTTGCTGGATCTGTAAAAAGGCAACTGTTAGCTAACATATTTGCCACAACAACTTTATAAGACTTGCCAAGGTTGCATGTACAGATTGCTCTGCTGCTGCCAAGTGGCCAAAAATTCTGTACTGCTTTGTAGAGCTGCTGCACTAGCGCAGTCATTAATAGTTTTGTTACTCCAAACCAAAGGCGGAACTCGAAAATAGCTGAAACTCTCAAAATAGCTTGCATGCTAATATGATTCAGTTTTTGAGGAGGGAATGCTGTTCAAGAAGGATAAAGGTGATGTGATACCACCCTTGCATTTTCTCAGATCTCATAACCCATAAAAGTTCTGAAAACAGCTTTCCAACTTCGTGCCTCTTTTCCAGGTTCAGCCCATATGAATGGTATGACGCCCATCCTTGTAACCCTGGATCAGATGTGGTGGAAAACAACTTCACTCTCCTCAACAGCTTCTGGTTTGGAGTCGGTTCCTTAATGCAACAAGGTATGGTGGCGCACATATCCTCTTCCCTGTCAAAAACAATACTATCAAACCACCCCCCTTTTCCTGTGCACTGCTAGCTCCCACTTTCTGCCTCTTTAACTGACAAGCTCCATGATTTCCATTTCGTGACTGTTTCATAAGACATTTACCTGTCAAGAACAACCTCAGAGCTCAGTCTAACATGACAAAGGAAAGCTGTTGTCACCTACCTGCTGTTTAAAAAGGGAAGAGGACGTGCCAAGCACTTGTCAGAGATTGTCAGCTAAGGATGGAAAACATTGCTGCATTTATTTCCTCATAACGCAGTCGTTGGCCCTGCTGAGGAGCTTTCTGAGTGTTGGTGCGAAAAGGGTAAGTTCAGGAACATGTCTGACAAATGCCAGCTGTCAGCCATGCTAGGGCTAGCTAGTGTGATGTATTCAGCGCTGTACAACTTGCACTGAGAACGACCTGCTGTGGAGAATACATATGTCTCACGTGTAACTGTCCAACAAGTAGCCTACCAGTTAAATGTCACTGCAGTCTTGTTTAATGCTAATGTATAATTTTGAACCCACTCAGTAAAATAACCTCTTTCTTCTTCCAGCACATGAACCTAACATGTATTACTAAACCTCCCACTGCAGATTTTATTCTACCTTTTGAATGAAAAATCAAAGGGATACAAATAGGTTTTCACTTGCTAGGTGTCCCTTAAAGGGATAGGTAAGCAAATGAAGGCCCAGAAATAGCATAATGAAGTCAACTGTGGAGGAAAAAGACCCAAGTAATAAAATGTTTAACCTCAATGTAACGAGACAAATCAAGGAGGCTTCGTGAGACTCGGCAGTGGATCTTTGCCCGTAAGGACGGCAAACACATTCAGCAATTCATTAAGCACAGAAGCTCGGCAGCACTCTTGTTAGACTGCATAGCAGCTCTGCCAATTTACCGATGCAGTCTATGGGTGTAGCTCCAGCGTACCAGGAAGGAGAGGAGAGAGAGAATCAAAACAAAATGAGCTAGTTAGTAGCACATGTTATTAAACTAAACAGGGAAGTATTCCCCATTATAATTCATATCATGGCTCACAGTGTGTCTGTCAATGCCCGAGCTCTAGTGTGTCTCATATTTACAATAGTTAACTGAAGCTGCTGCTGTTAAAATTCAATTTTTTCTGTGTTGCTAATAATGATAATAATAATAAGAATAATAAGAATAAGAATATTTCTACAAGATTTAAGATTTTTAAAAGGAGTGTGTTCAAAAACATCTTGACAATGATCTTAAACAACATTTGTCTGAGTTTAAAATTGACAGTCCAATTCTGGCTTTCCTTGACACTCATTTGTGCTACAGTACCTTGTAACACATGCTGCATGGTGGTATCTGCAGCAGCGAGGTGTATTTTGTCTGTGTCACATAAACAGACATCCCCTGCTTGTCTGGCAAACACAGTGACAGCAGCTGAGACGGAAGCCATTTCCTTGACATGTTTAAAATGCAAATGGACGTGTTTGAGGAGATCCAAAAAAAAAAATAAATAAAATCTACCAGCCTGTCTGTGGGAGGGAGGTGTCATAGACAACACAAAGAACACAAAATACGAGGAGGTGCAAAAGCAAACACTTTGTGTACTTCATATGCGTTCCTGGGGGTCTCAGTAGGCTTTTGCTCACAACAAACATATGTCTGATCATTCCCGTAAATTGGTTTCCGCATATAAAATATTTTTTGAAAGTATGTTTGATTTATGAGTTGACTTATTCCCAATTCTCTCATTCTCACTGACATCATTTCTTTATTTTGTAAAATATATTTCTACTCTAAATATTACTAAGATGCATGGTTTAAAGCCTAAAATATTGTTTTCATTGTTTGGTTCTTAATGCAAGTGGAACTAATCTGTGGTGGCATTTTGTTGGTGGTTAAGAGACTGGAGTTGTGACTTTGCCCCTTCTTGAGATTCAGATGAAGTTTTACTTGCCATGGAATAAACAAGTGTCATTTTTTAAAAGCAATTAATGACTAGTAAAAGCTTCAAGCTCTGAAAGGGAGTTTTTGGGCGATGACTCCACAGAGAGAATATTAAGTGCACGTAATCATTCTCATGGGAAAGCCTAGTTCTCTCATGTTAAGGTGAGGCGCTGCCAGTGGGAACAAAACCTCCAGAAAATTGGAGCATCATGTGTAGTACAATGCACTATGAATCCACAGAGATCAGCTTTTCCCCCCAGACTGACATTTCAAAAAGCATGATTAGATCCAAATTAATTTATTCAAAGGAGAATAGCAGTGTCAGGGTGACTTCTTCATGATCTCCTCTTAAGGAATGTTCGCTGTAGTGTTAGTAGTGGCTATAGACATAGTGCATCTATTCTAACTCCCTTTTTGTATGCAGATTTAGATGTTGAGAGAAGGCGCTCACACACAAGAAATAAGTGACTTGAATTGTCACATCCTCAGCCAACATTAAGTCTAAAACCATTGACAGTTTGCCTGAGTGGTGGTTAACTAAGAATATTTATGCATTACAGAGGAACTTTGAAACATAGAATAGACACGTAAAGTCCCAAATCTCCATGTTCACCTTGATATATAAATCATGAGAGTGGATGATAAAACAAATCCAAACAGAGTTAAAAATGCAACAGCACAGTTTTTTGCAGAACCCAACTAAAAGAATCAAGGCTATTTGTTAATATTATTAACAAATAATCATCTCCTGAGAAATTACCCTTTTATAAATGAACATCACCAATATTGATCGTAGCTTATTTACATTCAAGTGTGCAATATATAATTTTTTTAAAAACAATTTAGCAGTGGTATCTTTGCAACATTATAAAAGCGTACAAACAGACCCGAGTGAGGTTTTCCACGACCTCAGCTACAAGTAAAAGCTAAAGTACCTCATATTCACAATTACATTTGCATTTTTGCTCCTGCGTAAACTGATAAATAGACAATAAGACATGGCAAATAGTTGTTTGTTACTGCTAGATGTTTATAAAATGTTGGCGATTGAGAGTTGTGATGAGCTAATGTTTGCTAGGCTGCATTAGCTTAATGGTATGTAGCCAACAATAACTACTTCATTGCTTGTTTTCCAACAGATATAATGTTGTAAGACAAAATAGCTCTGGAAATGGGCTTATTCATCTTCTTTCAGAGAGTTCGATGAGAAGATCAAACACTCATATCTCTCAGTTAATGCTACGCATGGAGCTGGATCCAGGAATTAGCCTAGCATAAAGACTGAAGGCTTTGCTCTATATAAGATAGTTCTGCTATTGAGTCATTTAAAGCTCTTTTAGCAGGTATTTTGTTCATTTAACAGCTTTTGTACTTTTGCTTTTATCTTGTTCATTGACTTTGCAAAGCACATAAATAATATGACTTAAGGCTTTATTTGTTTTGGATTACAAGCAAATTCTTGAACCTGGTCACACAATTAAACATGTCTATTTTGTCACAACACGAATCCCATAGTGATATTTGCACTTTAGTGTTTTCTAGTAATATGTATAGTCTTAAACAGCTATTTACAGCATTCATTGTGTTTTGGTTACTGAACTAGTATCAGTAAGCCTATAATCTCCCCTGTACAAACAATTATATTTCCTTGGATTACAAGACATGAGTCCTTCCTCAAGGAAATGTATGGCATATTGACACCAGTTTATTTCCCTGGCACCATATGACTGATCTGCTTTTTGTATTTATTAGAGTGTTCTGATGCAGCGCCATATACTGTTCCCTGCTGACAACAGCACTTTATAGTGTGGGATTCAATTGAGTTACCCGTTGCTTCACTTCATTTTTAGTGCAACCAGAGAATGCATCTGGATCTCCCGTCTGTGAAGTCATAGTAAATTGAAGGATGCTACTGTCTTCCCTTGTTTGTAACCATGTAGCGTCTTTGTCAAACCACAAAGGACAAATCCAATCAAATTTGGTGGAAGAGGTTAAAGAGCTGACCACTCTGCCCCCCTTCTGTGGGCTTGTTACTCTTTAGAATTGCCCTCATAAATCTTCACAGTAAAGTAACAGAGTGCTCAAAGCACAAGGGTATTTTAAAGGTTGTCAGAGATGAGATATAAAGTAACTTTAACACCAGTCAGTGAGCCATTGTAAACATAGTATTATTCAGCCGAGGACCACTCAAAGTCAAGGTTGATGCAGAGGTTTACATTAGTCTGGCTAGGTATTATAACTTGATTTCTCTTTTTCTATTTTTTATACCAACAGCTATCATTTGTTCACAAAATACATCAGTGTGTACATCCAGTAAACCTAATGAGCTATGAAATTACATAATAGGAACATAGTTGGAATTATAGTTGTGTGAACTGCATGTGATATGTCAAAAAAATACCTTTGTACTACTTGATTAACAGACACTGTAGTGTAATGAATTGATAAATCTAAATTGGTGACTTCATGCCGGCAGTGCTTTAGCAGTAGAAAGCTGTTAAGTGTGATTACAGTTGCCTAATTGCAGAGTATGAATCTGGCTCTTGTTTGAATTGTACAAAAGCTATCTTCCATGTTATAGTGGTAATGACAGCAAATACAGGATATAAACAATGCCATTCTAGAAATAATACAATTACATGTGGGGGATAGTTTTTATATCCCCCCATCAAAAGCTATATATTAAAGTTTCAATTTAAACACATGTTGTTGTTGTTGTTGTTATTGATGTAAGTTAGATCTCAAACCAAAAATGGTAGTCATCTGCAACAACCGTGTGGAGTTTGTAGTGTTTGGAGTATAGTAAAAGTTATTGCTGTCAACTGTAAAGGCTTACATGAACTGAAAAAGGCTTTTATACCTGGTTTGATCTGCCTAATCTGAATTCTTAGCTTAGAGAGTGGCTAAACTGCCAAACTGGCTTCATTTTCTGTTTCCTCACTGACAGTACCTTGATCAACACCAGTGGCACTGCCAAAAACATTTGCAGGCTAATTAACAAAAACGGAAGTGATCATGTTTCTGCATTTGTTTAATTCAGTTAGTGTTGGCAGGTACAACTTTATCTAGTTAACTGCTTAATACTCTCTCACTTTGTGTTGCATACAGGCTCAGAACTGATGCCCAAAGCCCTGTCAACCAGGATCATCGGTGGGATCTGGTGGTTCTTCACACTGATCATTATATCATCCTATACAGCTAATTTAGCAGCTTTTCTCACTGTGGAGAGAATGGACTCGCCTGTGGACTCAGCCGATGACATCGCTAAGCAGACCAAGATTGAGTATGGTGTGGTCAAAGATGGCGCAACCATGTCTTTCTTCAAGGTATTGTATACACAATAAAGACTAGTTATGATTGGGTCAAGCTAATTTTTATTAAGTGTCATATTTTAAAAATACAAGTTAGATCAAATTGTGAAGGTATAGTCACTGAAATTTATTTCATCGTGTATTTTTCAATGTGAACACAGTCATAGTGTAGTTGAAGCATGTTGAGTACAAACATGTACAGTAATAATAATTTGTGTAAAGAAATGAGGCAAGATGTTGAATCGAGTTTTTTTTAATACAGTATATATATAGTATATATTTTTCTCCCTTTTTTTAGATCTTAATTCCCACAGCAAAGGCAAATACTCAAGCTTCTTCACTTCTCTACAGTGTTTGAAGTGTTCCTCCATAACGATTTTTTTATTCCAAAGTTTCAGTGTTTGCCTGCGGGGTCTTTGACTTTATTTTATTATTTTGAGCTTCGCTTTAGATGCTGCTGCTGCTGCTGCAGTGCTGAATAACACATGTAACAGAGTTACAGTTTCTCAGAGTAAGAAAATGAAAACACTGCACATTTCTATTGAAGACAGTCCATAAGTTTATGACTTTCAATAGCAAGAAAGCAAAATACGGATCCTTCCAGGGCATTTGTCTACCCCAGTTTTTATGCCCCTCAAAATTTGTAGTTGAGCTGAAAATATTGTCTGCCAACCAGTGTGTATATTGAATCCCCCAGCTTTGATTATTCAGTTAGGTTCAGAGTTTCTGCTGATATTGTGTACGTTTAATTGTGTTTCTTAAAACAGAAAGTATTTAGTTACTAATCACAAAATTGCTTACTTTTTGCATTGCATCCCATGAATGTGAAATGTCCTGTAATCATAATTACTGCACCTGGATCCAACTCAACTCGTTGACATTTGAAAAGAAATTAGCTAAACAGCTATGTAAAAGAAAGTTATTTTAGATCATGCCGTGTACTTTGATCGTATTTGTGATTATAGCTTTATAACTAGGAGACACAAGTGTTTAATTACCTCATCAGAGTTGCATGGTTCAGGTGCCTCTTGCTCTTACAGACGTGCCTAATGATATCGACTCAATGAGGCAAGGAAGCATGATAAATATTGAGGAGACCGGGAGTAGTTAAAGGGCTTTGCAAATGTTTGGAACTGGCTGGTTTTCACTAAATGTTACGGTTACATGCTAAAAGCTAAAAGAGTTCACTCAAATAACTAGCCACCAGATAGCAGATGGATAGTTATGAGCCAGGTGTGGTTCTGTGACAGTGAAACAAGAATACATGCCCAGAGTCTTAGTATTGTGGCTGTGGATTGTGGCAAAATTCACTAGTGACACATCTTTGCTTGTATGCTTTTTATTCCAATTTCTTTGTGATTTCTGATCTGATTCACTGTTTCCTTCACCTTCATGAGATATTTGATTGGTGTAGACATTTCTACAAAACCCACTATACTGTAGTTGTCCCCCCTCATACACCTCAGATATACTGTACACCTCTAAATATGCATCCTGAACTACAAAAAACTTCATCTAAATACATGAAATAATTCAACAGCAAGCAAATTTAAGTTTTAATGACCAGGTACTCTGATAAGAAGACTTTGCTAAATACTGTTCCAATTGATGATGCAGTGTTTCCCATTAATTAACGAGACCATGGTGACCCCGCCATAGTCTAATTTGCTCCGCCATAGTTTCAGAAGAACCGAAAATATTTTTACACATCTCATAACATTTCAGACCTCTAAAGTTGTGTTTTGTGGGCACTGCTGTAAGCTCACACACTTTGGCATCCGACTCGAGACAACCACTATTCTTTTGAGGTAACTACGGTAACGTTAACAGTCTGTTTGTGAGACGGCAATTAAGCTAGCCGCGCCTAAATTTGGAGTGCACACGTATTCGAGCCTTTATGGTAAATCCACTGTAACAGCCCAGTGCGAGCTGACAGGCAGGTTAGCGACTTTATCCTGTCATTTTCTTTCTTTACAAAGACAAGTGTTGCAGTATGAGAGTCCTACCTGAAGAGAGGCTGTGAAGTCTTCATGTTGCGTGATACAAGAACCACATACAACATTATTTATCAAATTGGGTCGGACTTAACGAATTTAGCGCGGGGATACACATGTGACAACGCGCGGTTTTCATAATAAGGCGTCTATAAAGTATGGAAATAAGATTAATTGGATTAGATTCACAGAAAGTATAAAATATATTACATGTGTAATTTAAGAAAGTTTAAAAAAACAATAAAACCTGGACTTGGTTGAAGATACCAGTATCTTCAACCAAGTCCAGTTGCCCTTGACTTTAACTGTTGTTGGATAACTATGACCTGGATGACTGAGAATCTTCACAGACAATAAAACTTATTCTATTTTCTATTCTTTGATTTAGGGTTTCTGGAAAAACTTTGTTGACTTGTGTTGCTGTTTCATCATCACCATTTACAGCTATACAATGGGTTTATGATCAAATAGTTTATTAGAGCACAACATCATTACAAGCATACAAAGTTCTTCATAGATAGCCTCTTAATTTTGCACCACATTAATGCATTTAACTTTAAAATGTACAAAATCTTCTTCCGGTGAGAGGGTCTGAGGCCCACCCACCATTGTCTCTTAAAATCCAGTGGGAAACACTGCAATGCCATTACTATACTGCTGAAAAAAACACATTGCATTAGAAACATAATCAGAGGTTTGTATCCACTGTTTGTGAAAAGGTTGTCACGTCACTTGAAAGCCCTCTTATGAAGAGCTGTTGTTTTGTTTAATTGCACATTGTATTGAGAGCATTGAAGGGCACACATAAGCAAGTCAACTGCTTGCAAGGAAAGTAGCATTCATCTACTGTTAAAAGGTGGAAGGAAATTACTGGATGCAGTTGTATGCCATTTTGCACTTTTAGCAGAGACAAGAAATCAATAGGGAAGCATTCTTTATCATGAGACCTTTTTGAAATACATCACATGCAAAAACACTGTTGTAATGCAAACCACCATCAGCTGTACGTAGTTGCCATATGGTCCATTTTCTTTCTGAAATCACCTGGGAGGTAAAAAAAATAAATAAATCTCTAAATCTACTGACAAAGATGCCAACTTGGCAACACTTGCTATACATCCTAATTGGTACTTTTAAGTTTTAATATCAGACTATCATATATCAGTTTTAAGCAACAATGAATTTGCTTTTACTGTAGTTTCACATAATGGAGGGCTTCTTATAATAGCATCTTTCACAATTGGAAATGGCTTATAGTCTTTAGACAGTAATTATCTCTGATTAGACATGGCATAAATGTGACCTCATATAAAATTGCATGAAATACCACATAGCCTGATGCAAGACTAATGGAGAGGCATTCTATTATTGCTGCATCAGTAGTACATATGAGAATAGATGTGCGCAAAGCTTCAATTTACTGTCCTTTAATCCTGTGACAATAGAGATCTGTAGGGGTAATCATTTAAATCTACCTGGACACTGGCTAAAGAATCTGTATTCTTGCATGCTTTTAATGAACAAATACTATATGTGTCATCTTTGACATTTTCTATTCTAGCTTAAAAGAAAATCCCCATAGGTGTAAAGTTATTTTGCCATTCATCAGAGCTAAAGAGGGACTAGCAAGATTTCATGGTTAGCAGTAAATTTAGCTTCAACACCTTGGGCTATAATGTTTGAAAGTCATTTTGTGCAAGCTCAACCTTTTAGAGTTAGAAGTATTGTATATTTTTCAACCACTTTTTCCTTGCCTGCTGCCAAGAAGACTGTTCAAATGAGGTTCAAAGGCATATATTTTTTAACTGGCTCTTTCCATCCTGTACAGAAATCTAAGGTTTCTACTTTTGAGAAGATGTGGGCCTTTATGAGCAGTAAGCCAAGCACATCACTGGTGAAGTCTATTGAGGATGGGATTCAGAGGGTGCTGAAGTCTGACTATGCCCTCATTATGGAGTCCACAACTATCGATTACATCACTAGGAGCAACTGTAACCTGACGCAGGTGGGAGGGATCATCGACAGCAAAGGCTATGGCATTGGCACTCCCCTCGGTAAGACCTGCGAATGGCCAGAGAATACATCTGAGGCTGCCAAGAAATAAACAAGCCCTTTTTATAAGTTTGCCTTTTGAAGGATGGGGGTGAAGGATTGCTTTTAGATGTGTATTTCTTTTTAGCTACCAGTCAAACAGTATGCCACAACGTGTTTATGAACCTTATTATCACAGAATCCAGCTGGCGTGTCTTCCAAAGTAAAACAGGCCTTATGTTGCTTCCAGGCTCCCCATACAGGGACAAAATCACCATAGCAATCCTAAGCATCTTGGAGGATGGGCGCCTACACATGCTGAAGGAGAAGTGGTGGAGTGGGAGCAGCTGTTTGGATGAAGAACGTCGCGAGACAGGCCCCATGGGTATCCAGAACCTGGGTGGTATATTCATTGTGCTGGCATCTGGCCTAGTGCTGTCTGTTTTTGTGGCAATTGCTGAATTCATCTACAAGCTGAGGAAGACTGCAGAACGTGAGCAGGTATATGTCCCCATAAATCACATTTTCCTAATTAAATTTTTATTCTGTGGTTTAGATGGATGGAAAATTAATCTAACACTAATTTAATTACACTTAACTAGGATTTCAGTTTATTTCCTTCCGAATTTTAAAAGAAGTTGCTAACCATGCCCATTTTGTTATGATGCTTATTCCACATAGCCTCAAAGCAGTGCTCTATTCATGGCTTTTAGTTCAAACATGTTATAAAAGGATTTGCATGCCTTCGGCTAATCCCTAGGTGTACTTGGCCATAACACCCCAACATTTACTTATTTTAACGGGCATAACTGCAAATTGGAGCATAGAGAATTAATCCATTATTAGTCATTGGAGACGTCAGAATAGCATGAATGTTGTAAATCACTAATTTGAGTCATGCTAAGTGAGGAGTAAGTGTATTGCATGCTCATGTGCCATACTTGTTCCCTCTTTCTGACACTGCAGGAATAATGAACTGTGCACAGTCTACATGTGGTGGTGCAGGTTGACATTGCTGACAGCCATGGACGCTTATGCACACATACACACACCAGCAGCAACACAGCATGAATGTTATGTTCTAATGCGTTATGTGCTCTGTAGACACTCTCTGCTGTCAGAAAAATTTAAAGCTAAGGCATTTACCCCCCGTCCCTTTCCCCTCTTCTCCTTCTTGCTCCCCTCCCCGTATCCCCATTTTTGCCCAGAGGTCTTTGTGCAGTGCCATGGTGGACGAGATCAGACTGTCGTTCACCTGCGAGAGGCGGGTGAAACACAAGCCTCAGCCTCCAGTCATGGTGAAGACAGATGCAGTGATCAACATGCACGCTTACAACGACCGACGACTCCCAGGAAAGGACAACATGAGCTGCAGCACTGGGATGACTCCCGTGTTCCCGTGACAATGTGTTCCCCCCAGGCCAAAAACCTCCTGAGCAACGTGTCAGGGGTCGTGCCAGAGACTAGAGACAATGGCATTGACGGGATCACCAGATTCACCGTTAACCACAGTGACATGGGGACACTAACAAAACATGGGCAACTCAAAATGGCAGCATCAGCCACACAGGTATGACAACATTAACCACTGTATTCCAAACCACAAGAGGTAAAAGAAATTGTTACGGGAGGTTCTGGGAAAACAGTATACCCACATAATCCGTTTCAAGTCTGATGTTTACGTGCGCAACACAAAAACACAATATACACGTCAATCGAGGAATCCTCAATCAGTGAAAAGAGTTTTTTTTTTTTTTTTTAGAAAAAATGGACTGAAGAAAGAATAAAGGCTTTGTTAAGAATGGCAATAAATGGCAAATATACATGGAGGGCAAGGATGAGATCAGTTTTGGAGATCAGTTTTGCAACACATTAAAATTATCAAGTACATACCTTTGTCCTGTTGATTTGCTCCTGAATGGCCTTTGACTGCGGAAAATAATGTTACCTCAAACATGTTGTCCTTGCTTGAATGGTTATCTCTGAATCATGATCTTTTGAAAGCATGGTTGTCAGGGACACACATGATAACCTGTAAGAATACTAATTCAGTATCTGCAGAATTGTTACTGGTGGAAACCCACATCGAGATATGACCGTTCAACAGCAAATATATGTTTGTTGAAGTTTTCATGTGAAATTAACAATATTCTTACATAGAAGCAATTAATCATTCACGCAAAGCAAAGCTGGAATAGGGAGATGTCTTTGTTAAAAGATTCCAGTATGGACCAGAAGTACATTTTATGTTAAAATCATTTTGTACATTATTGAATTTGAATCAGTTAAATTGCCAAAGATCTGACCATTCAACAGAACTATTTATAGGACAATATGGGCAGTTTCTCCTCACTAAGCTTTTTAGGGAGCACTTACTTTGTGTTCAGTGCAAAGTAAATTGGAGTGGTTTAAACAGGACTATTAAGAGATCAGTTTTTCCAACCATGCAGGGTAATATGTATCCAAAGTTAATTGTATTTGGCAGTCATGGCATCGTATTTGCTGGTTTTGCGAACCACCTCACCTCAAATATTGTACACTGTAATGTAAAACAATCATATGGGGAAAAAAAGATCAATTTCCTGATAAAATGTTTTTATTGAAACAAAACCTTGGTCCTGTGTAAATACCAAAAGGATAATCATGGAAATACTGAGAAATTATTTGAACCAATTTCAAAAGTTTGTGCTCACCTTTGATGAAATGGCAGCATGTGTGTACTCTTTAAAAACACACATTTATAGACTGAGTTGGAAGGCATTGGATCAGGTACTTCTGTGTTAATCTTAGTTTACTAAAAAAATGTAAGTCAAAAGGTAAGAGACTGTGACCTTAAAACTAAAATGCGTTTTTGAGTGCATTTAATTGTGACATTTCCAACTAAATACTTGACTTTGTCCATATGTGGCTACAGGACCACTGAATGTCCGAAGTACACATTTTTGATTCATTTTTCATGCGTGATCTCAAGGCTTTTTGTCAGGAAGTTGATTGTTTTGCATCTTGAGCATTTAATGGACAAGGATTTGGTTTAAATATGAAAACATCTTGAAGGTTATCTCAGACTTGAAAGTCACAAGCTTTTTTTGTTTAATTACCTAATGTGGACAGAGTAAATCCATTACCATGTGGTGAATAGACAGAAGACAGATGATGATGATGATTTTGTGTGTTCATGTTGACTTTAATACCTATTGAAAATGTACATGCCGTAGGAAGATTCAAGGAGTCTGTGAGCTGCTGTCAGCTCACCTGGGAGCTGAACTAACAGCAAACCTCTGTGAGGTTTATGTTGTTGCAACGTCGAGACAAAAAAAAAATTGTAACTATCTATGATTCAAAGAAACTCCAATCTGTAAAACTTAGCATTGGTTTGGTTAGAGATTCACTGTATAATTGTTTATCGATTCCCTTCTGCAAAGTAGAGTATGTAGATAAGATCAGCAGGAGAAAATGTATTTTGCTAAATTTATACTATTATAAATGAATTCTGTTCACAGTCAAATATGTTAGAGATGGTATTTATTTCATTAGAGAGGTCACTTTAACCTACTTCCTCACTTTAGTTCCACAGCCCCTAAAACCTTGTTTATTTATTTAATGGATATGCATTATATTATGGTATATTGGATTACTATCATCCAGATGGGAAAATGTATGTAAATCTTCTTTTATGATGGTTAATATATTTCTACAAGGTGAACATGAAATAAAAATGTTGAGCTTCCCCAAGAATTAAGGGGACACTCCCTTAGAGTAGGGAAAGTAGGGTTTATCTTATGTAACTGGACCTTTACTAATCTTGAAATCCCAATTAGGACCTGGTCTAAAGTATGGCCCCGGCTGACACATGGTTATACTATATTACTGTTACCCTTATGTGTACTGTAGCTTTCCATGCAGGTGATTCAAAGACTCAAGTTTGCTTGTATTTCACCTCTGTAATATGTGAAAATAATTGAACATTTCATCAACAGAGGTTCTGATTTGGCTGATTCAGTCACTTTGGTTACTGAATATATACATCGTTTTTATGAATTAATGTGAATAATATTGTCATTTTACACAAAATTGTGTGAAATGTGAGAGAAAAGTAATGCAAAATGTAAGCTACATAACCGGTGTTCCATTAGCAGTGTGTGATATGAGTTTTGATTTTCCAGCAGTCACAACGGTATGCCTTTTTATGTATACCTTTCTTTTGAGTTGCACAGCTTCTATCATCTGGCAGAAAACCTCTCAAACAACACGAAAAATATGTTGGTGCCAACCAGGGTTTTCTTTGTGGACATGCAGAATTTCTATGAAGATAGTTTTTGTATGGTTTTGTAAAAAAAAAAGGAGAAAAAAAGATTTTGTTTTCCTAGTAACTGTATGTGTTAAGAGAACATTAAATAACCGACATCGAGTAAAACATGGGGAAATTCAACAAAATATTATAGAAAAGCTAATGAATTATTTTCTTTTTATCACATTGTGAATAATTCAATTGTACAGTTTGCTGTATGGGTTATATGAAATTTTAAATAAAAAATACAAACTATATCTCCTATTGAACTACTGATTGATGATGCTGCTTGTAATAGTAAGTTGAAGTTTAGTATTACCATTTAGAAAGTTTACACTAAGTTTTAAATATACTGGGTTTTACTGGGTTTTAAAACCAAGTATTACTTTATGCAGATTTTTCCAAATTACTAGCAACATGATTAGATTAGATTATTTTAGATTTATTAGATTGCATTAGATCAAATTACATTTTTAATGACCCCACTGGGGGATCCCAGCATTATGTAAGATGACAAATTGACAAACAAACATCAATGCAGGCAAATGTTTTGAAAAATAATTTAAACTAATAAATAATAAGGATAGACCATAATCAATAACCGATTTCCCAAGTGTACTTCATGGCTATTTTACCAGATGTCAAATGGGAGAACTAATGCTTTGTACAGATGTTTACATGCATGCAAATATGTTTATATCACATAATTAAATGAATTCATCTGCATTAACCATTTTCAAATTATTATTAACTGGGAATAAAACTAAAAATTCCAGACAGTGGGTATCACTTGTACTCACTTTATAATATCATCAGGTCGGTCTACAAACAGAACACAAGAAATACTAAGTTCACCACAGTGCTGCTGTTGTTGTATTATACAGTAAGCGCTCAATACAAAACCCACAGTTCAACCACCAATTAATGAGTCCTTATCTCAGTTCAAATCTCCTAGGAGTCCATCTTTCTGTATTCCAGTAAGCAAACAAAAATTACTCAGTTTGAGGTTCAATTCAGAAGTGTTCTTGTGTTTAAAAGACAATCTTAATAATTCTCCGACAACACCAGAGTTCCCCACCCCCGCAGCCTTCGATGCTGGTAAGCAGCACACCGGCTGTAACTCGGGACAGACTTTCGGACTTGTGAGTTTGGTTTGAACGCCGTTTCACAGATATTTCCTGAGCTGACTGGTGGCTGTGTGTGTGATGCAGGCGCAGATCGCCACAATACGCTTACCTTACTACACATGTCTTTCTGTTTTGCATTTTTCTTGTCCGTCAAAGTGGCGGATGGCCCAAAGATTTCACCCACCACCATCAAGTTACCCGCGGGTGGCGGGTGCTACTTTCATTCCCTGTGTGACACTGAAGTTTATGTAGTGTCAGCTTCTGTCAAGTTTAAGGCCGTTGTACAACAACAAGTCAAGGTACAGCGTAAGGTGCGAAGTTGATGTTTCGTCTGGAGACTGCTTTACTCTTGGGTGTCATGTGACCAGAGTTTAATCGCATCCTTTGCGATTAGAAAATCTCATTTGATCACATTGTGATAATATCGCAAATGCAATTAATAATTCAGCCCAACCCCCACCCACTTTTTTTGTAAAGTAAGTACAAGTAATGGCGGGATTCTTTGTTTTCTTCCCAAGAGTATCTGATCCTCAGAATCTGTCACAGGTTCACACCAGAATCAAACCAGCGCCAGAATGATACATTGTTGCTTTCACAAAGGCCAAAACTCAAACGGCTCAGGAAGTATAAACAAAAGCCATGTGATGGAAATGGCTGTGATAATTGGTAATACAATCAGCCTGGAAAAAGGCAAAAAAACCCTCTAAATTATAGATATCCTCATGGAGCACCACCAGGTTCATGTTGGAGTTGGTCGGCGGTGCATATCAAAAGACTTTAGAGGGTCTAGTAGCAGTAAAAATTTAATAAAGCAGGCATTTCTAAGAATCAGCATCAGATGGTCTTATCGCTAATCATCATCATCTTAAATTAATGAATTATTGCAGTACATCCCTACATGCTACATACATTAAAAGGTTTAATAAGGTGCCAACTTTTATCAACAATAAATACTGCATATAATAATAATAATTATTTTTATTATTGACATAATCAAGCAAGCTTCTGCCCTTCTGCCGAATGGGATGTTTACTGTATGTACCAAAACATCAAGGTAAACTGGCAATTAGTGAAAACCATCTTGGTAATAAAACATATTCTGATAAATATGAAATATTATAAATAACA